CTGCAGCCACGCCCCCCAGCGCCGGAACACTGCAGCCACGCCCCCCATCACCGGAACACTGTCGCCACGCCCCCCGTCAGTCATATCGTCCGGATCCTGCCGTGTTTCCCTGTCGCCCTTCTCCAGTCTCTTCCGGACTGTACTGCCGGCATAGCGTCCTAACCAGCTCCCCTTACAACAGGTCTGTAGACAAATGGAAACGTCTGTTGTGCAAACAGGAAATGCACAATATACAAATAATGTTTTCTACTTTATTTTCTGTTCTTCATCTCAACGTGAACTAGCAAAGAAAATGTGTTTACCATAACAATCCACCTGTGTTCACAGAGAGATTTAAAAGAAGTCATTCTACAACATATTGCTTCATTGCACATTTCTGTGATTTCATGAGTGATTCATGGTACACAATCGTGGATATATCAACATACAGTGTTGTGAATGTAAAAAACTGCAGTTTTAGCTATGCCTCTACCGAGCAATAATAGAGTATAGGTTGGAAGGCACAGTATACATTCTTAAGGAGAGGATCAAAGTGACAAATGGCATTATGATAATTTTTCAAAATGAACTTATGGCACCATACTAAGCCTGTTACTATCTAATCATACTGATGTGTGTCTTGGCGAACTGCGATGAACGTCAGATCGACTTCCCATGCAGTCAGTTTGGGAAGTGACTACAGACCCTGCAATGGTGTCAGGAGAGAATACAAAAAACAGACAAAAGAGATTGAAAAGGGCTGTGTTAACTAAACCCATTACTTGGAATGGTACAAAATTTACTGTTTGTCGGATCAATGTCAGTGCCAGCGAGAGTCCAAACGACACACACACAAAACAAAATGGCAAAAGATGTATTTGCCTCGCATTTGCGAATACTTAGTGTGCTTTGGAAGGCACTGTCAAACATGGCTGGGCTGCAGAGATCTGGGACCGGCTGCTGGCCACTGTCTGACAGCTTTCAAATACTGTTATTTATCTGTGTTGCATGTACTGGCACTTCATCCACCTAAATACTGCAATTTAGACAGATCAAAGAAATGCAGAGAATGCAATAAGAAACCATAAAAAATATAAATATGTTATCTGCGTCGCTTATCATTGTGGAACAAATTTACTAAATCCACTAGAATTCTTTGTGAGTCGCTTAGCTGCCCTAGAAGTTACAATTTGCTTTTGCAGTTTTCCAAGTTACAGGTGCAAACATCTGAAGATGAGAAAAAATGTATGATCATATACCTGTATTAATACAAAGTTTATTTTTTTTAATTTACAATTTAATTTTCACATTGCTGATCTTTCAAGGAAACAAGAACTACAGTACCTAAGCATTCTCTCAGCTAAGAAGTAAAAGATACCTCATTAAATACCACTCACAAGTTTAATACTGCTCACATATTTTTTTAGATCATCAGAGCATGCATGCACATCTGTTTATATGCTGCGTGTACAAATATACAGTATATGCAAGCACATGCCCATATACAATATGTTATAAAATAATCATTTAATGTTTAATCTTCTATCTAAACAATAACTGTACTACACGCTGGGAAATAAGTGTACATATCTTTGCAAAACGAAAGAAGAATTGTCAGCAATTGCACTTGGAAGAAGAATTTTGTTAGCATTGTTCTTTTCCTATGTACAGAGAATAGTGTCCTATCTTCAAAGGCATAAAATTCTCCACTGCTTTTATCTCAAAGCACAAAATGTCTTTTGCGCCCAAAGATAACAATTGCCTGGCTATCTGTTTCAAAGTAATCTAACAGCCTGTTTTTAAAGGATTCTGTGCAGTATAATTTTTAATCTAATTGTTACTACATAAAGTGGGTTTCTGTCTTTTATATGGTTGTGGATCCACAGTGTGTGCTCTAAGAAAATAAAAAATACTTTTTAAGTGAGGCAGGTAAGAAATTCCAATGAAACATTTAGAAACTGGGAGAATCAAGGCTTGAATAATAGGGCCTTAAAAATACTAAACATGTGGGAGGACATTTGTCATATCTTCGTTGCATAATACAAAACAGAAAACAAAAGGCAAAGTGCCACACCATTGTGCTCCTACTGAAAGGACACTTGAGGGCAAAATCTAGTTCACAGCTGTTGAGATGACATACTTCTTGAAATAAATAAGCTCTGAATCCCTTACTAAAAGAAAGTGTAAATTAACGTTTAGTTGTTTGAGCACAAATTTATATTCCAGGTACTAAGTCATTGTAAAAGACAATTATGCGCTTTGATAGGTACATTTTCTGGCACTTGTTTAAAAAACAACAGCAATGCCAAGAAAAAAAAAACATACATATTTCTCTATACCACAGCAAATCAATATATGGAAGAACAATCCTGTGTATTCTGAGTGAAGCCTTTTTTTTCACTTCGGATACACTCACTGGTACACTGGTACCTCTTTTGCTTGAAGTAACAGTGCCATCTAGTGGCCCTTTCGTTTTCGGGAATTAGTATGATTAAATCAGAATGCTTCTTTTAGCATCAGCAACAGCAAAGTAACTGGGATACACAAAGAAAAGGGAGGAAACAATGATAAATATATTAAAAGACTTTCTACAGGACCTATATACAGACCTGTATACGTACTGAACACCATCTCTAATGGTATGGGGTAGTTCGTGTTCGTTTGTAACAGCCTACAACCTCCACTTAAGGAATGAAAATAAATGCCCAATGCTGTTGCTGTTATATTTATAGCAAAGACAAGCTGGAAAGTTGGATTTCCTGATTTGCTAACTTGTTTATTAAATGTTTGACAACATATTTTCACCTGCCCCTTGTTCCCTGTGTTTTTTTCTGTATGTTATGGTTTTACCCTTCCGTGTCCCACTTCCCTGTTCCTGTGTTAGTCCTGGATGGACTTTGGACGGCTTCTATCATACAAAATAATTCATCGAATTTACCCAGTTAAGACTCTTGTTACCCAGCGATTTAAAATTAATATAGATGACAAATGTGTTTTCGTGACAATAGCCCTGAAACTATTCAGCATTTGTTTTGGTTATGTCCCCAGGTTAAAAATTTCCTGGTCTAATTTGCAGACTTATATTAAAACAGACCAATATTGATATTTGTTTTGATGAAAAAGATGTTATGTTACGTTTCAGCCCCATCGAAAACAATATTAGCATTATTAGCATACAGCATTTTTAAATGGAAGTAAGGGGGTATTTGCAGACTATTTCGAAGTGCAAAAATATGAAAGCAGTGCGGACATTATTTCTATTTACTTTGTTTAATCTTTTTTCATAACTTGAATTTATGTAGTAATATGTACCCCTGACGATATTATTGTCTTGGATTGTACTCTTATTTGTATTGTAATTTTTGTTCTTTTGTTAAGCATAAATAAATAAAATTAAAACAACTTTAGACTGCTTCCTGGTTTCCCCTGCAGGACTGCTTGTGGACTTGTTCGCCTGCGCCACGCCCCCCAGCGCCGAACACTGTAGCCACGCCCCCCAGCGCCGGAACACTGCAGCCACGCCCCCCAGCACGGGAACACTGCAGCCACGCCCCCCAGCGCCGGAACACTGCAGCCACGCCCCCCATCACCGGAACACTGCAGCCACGCCCCCCCCGTCAGTCATCCCGTCCCGATCCTGCCGTGTTTCCCTGTCGCCCTTCTCCAGTCTCTTCCGGACTGTACTGCCGGCATAGCGTCCTAACCAGCTCCCCTTAAAACAGGTCTGTAGACAAATGGAAACGTCTGTTGTGCAAACAGGAAATGCACAATATACAAATATCTAAACCAATTACAATGTAGTTGTTTACCAGTGATGATGAAGTTACAATAAGAATAAACGTTAGAATAAGCTGCCTCACCCTTCACTTCCTCTTTTTTCTACTTTATTTTCTGTTCTTCATCTCAACGTAAACTAGCAAAGAACATTCGTTTTACCATAACAATCCACCTGTGTTCACAGAGAGATTTAAAAGAAGCCATTCTACAACATATTGCTTCATTGCAAACTTGGAAAGTTAGATTTCCTGATTTGCTAACTTGTGTTTAGTAAATGTTTAACAACATCCCTTCACAAATTCTTTACCTTTTTTCCCCGGATCTGTACTTTTAATGCTTGCAGAACATTAATAAGTACGTCCCTTTCCAAAGTAATGAATTCCAAATTGTTTTCACTGGTTTGGGGAGTCATTAAATTCAACTGGTGCATTGCGATCACATGAACCGCTAATCTGTGGGCAATTGCAAAATGGAATTGAGTGTTTTGTTTAGCTTCTGTTATTTTAAATGTGGTCTTGAACACACTAAAAAGCGGTATGTGTCACCGTACTGTCTTGTTCCTATCTAAAAGACCTTCTGCTGTTACAAACAGTTAAGGGTAAGGAGAAGGCCTTATGATGGTTTATGATGTTTTGCAGTTGTGTGTTGCAATCTTTGGTGTGGACAGGCCAGTGTGACTTTCGTGGGTGAGACATTTCATAATCACAAGTCCGTTTTTAGAAATAACTGGTAAAGAAAACACACATTGATTTCTAATCTTTATTAACACAAAGCAGAAGGAAACACAATACAGCTACTTTGCAATGTGTTGTAGTCAGGTGACGGCTGTGCTGACAGCACAGGCCCTAGGAGTATTAGCAATTCACTATACTTACTGTAGCTTATTCATCCACAAGGAAATTAATGCTTTAAGACTTGATTCGCTAATTGAAAGTGCAGCTTTTAAACACAGATTTAATAAACTAAACATCAAAGCTGGTCATTTTTCACCAAAGAGCCTCTGGGAAAAGTAGCCAAGTTCATTAGAGGAAGCTCTGCTCAAGAACTATGATGACAAGCAGTTTCACAGTGGTAGTGATTTTGAAAAGTTAAATGCCTAATGCACTGTAATTTGACTTGGCTATGACTTGTTTTCAGCAATAAGTTGAAAAATATAAAGAAAAGAAAAACATAACTGCCCCCTTAGTGAAAAATGACTGATAGTGCCTACCTTGGCTTTTTTAAGACTAATGCTACAAACTCATAATTTTATAGTTTCTCAGCATACATACTTATTTTTGCCATTGCATATTTACTTTCTGGATGTTCTTCCTTTTTGGGGCTCAGGCTGCTTAGCTGCTGCTTTGGGGGCGTGAGCTGGGGCAGCAGGGGGTGGCGTGGGTCTGGGCATTTGGCCCAGTTTGGGCGGTGGGATCTCTTCCCCCTGCTTGTAGACACTTACGGTGATGTCCACAGTCTCCCCACCGTACTTGTTACGGACATTCATGCTGAACCTCCCAGAATCCTCGGTTGTCACACCCTTGATAGTCAGGCTGGCGTATTTCCCCTGTTCGAGGGTCACCACGTAGTGATCATCGAGCTCCACTTCCTTGTCATTCTTGTACCAGACCACCTCAGGAGATGGGTCACCGCACACAGTGCACGTCAAGCTTAGTGTCTGTAAAAACAAAGAGGCAGGATGCCTTTTTCAGTGAATTCACCTTGAATGCAGATTCAGTGAAATTATATTAAGCATCTACTTTTATATTTCAGCAAAGAAGTGCAAAGGCATCTAGGGAAAAATAAGAATAAACCTTAACTTCCATTTTCTGCTAATGACTGTTATCCCCTTCTTTGTTTGTGGCTCTGATTTAGAAATAATGTAAAAAAACAGTTGCAAGTTATTTAAAAGTCCCTTAACATGCTCTTTTATTTTTTTAAATTGTTTTATACAGTACATGCACGACCATGCAAAAAGAGGCCCTGCCTTTGAAACTTTTGTTTTCTTTTATAAATTAGTTTATTAATTACATTCAATTTTCTGATCAGCACTTCACATTAAAGAGGTTATTAAATGTTTTATCAATGTTTTACACATTTAATAAATTGTTAGAAAGCATTAATTATTCTAGATTAGTTATTAAGACATTAGATTTGTTATTATACACGTTGTACTATGAAGGAGTTTTTTGTTGTGACGAAAAAGTATTGTTTCTATTTCAATAGCCTGACTGTAGTGTAGTGAAACATCTGATCTGAATGGCCTAGATAGCACATTGTGTTAACAGTATGATACCGGACTGGATGTAATAAGAGATTTCATGTCACCATACATTTAAAATGAAATTGTGAGGTGTCTCCAGAAGTTAGATTAGATGCAGTCAAAGAGAAGTGTGATTCTCAATGCAACTAGACAAGTAATCTCTTTTGAAACACTCATGCTTAATTATTCATCTGAGCACCTATTATTGTTTTTCTGAACATGTGTGTGTTTAAAGCTCTCAGGTTTCTCCTCAATGGCCCTTTGGTCACCACACACACCACATATATGCTTCCCTGGGGTGAGACAAACTGACAGTAAGTCAATGACAGATAATCAACTTCGAGTTCTATCGCCAGGATCAATCTCCAGAAAACATGAAGTAGAATCTGGTAAAACATTTTCTTATGAGGGGAAACATTTCACTTATAACTAATCAAAGACGATATTTGTAGCTTTTAGAGTGTTTTTTGTTTTAGCCTTACTTTAGAATAAAATAAATACTAAGGAAATGATCAGAACACTGGGATAGAGGAACGTGTTTTAAATGCAGATATCACTGCCTTACCTTCTTTTCCATGATTGTAACCACATCAGGCAGACCACCGACCACTTTACCGCGGTCTAAGGATAGAAATAAATATTTGAATGTCAATGAACTCTTTACAGGGCTAAATACGAGAACACGCACACTAGAGTTAACATTAAGTTTCCCACTCCCACTGAGCCCGCTGAATGAAAAATACTCACTTTTCTCAGCAAATGCCACTTGTCTGAAAGAGACAAAAGACACCAAATCGTCACCATGACGCATCAGCGGTGCATTTATAATAGCAAACCTGAAAATGTACTCATTGGACACCATCTTAATGTTCTATTATTTTTCAAATGTTTTATATTGGCTCATTTTGTCTAGCATGAGCCCTCCCAAGCCAGTATCGGCTCGGATTGTCTGGGCTTGTGTCAGAATGTGGAGGGTTGCAGGCAGAAAGATATGTTTTCTGAAAGCACCTCCATGGTGAGGGCGCCCACGTTAGTGCTGCACGTTCCCAGGCCTGCCTGGCAGCACAATGCTATTTTTATGCTAATTTGGGGCATGTATTAGTTGTTTTTTACTGTATAACTGATTAACAGTGGTGTATTTATTTTCTGTTTGTTCCACCATTTTGTGTCAGGATACAAACCCTGACGGGACCCTAGTTTAAATGGAGACCTTCCTGTCCATCCAGAGAATGTAGCCTGTGATTCATGGTGTAGGAGTCAATTTCTCGGTTACATGGTTCGTGTGCTGTATCACTGCTGTCTAAGTATTGGGCCTATGCCTCTTAAAACATTATGGGGGCAATTCTGTGGAAAACTACAGTTTTGTTACTTTTTTTGCTGTGTTCTCTTTTTCATGCATTTTTCTTTGCACAAGAATTTCTTGCCTATTATCAATGAGGAGTAGTACAAATCTAATTGTCTTACTTGAGTCTCTGGAACTCCGCGTATGCATCAGTATAAGCTGAAAAAGAGGAGATATAGATATTTTAATTTTAAGCACAAGGCTTAGATGGATAGGGTAAGTATACTGTATGTATACAGATAAATTGATACATCATTGCACATGAATTAATTAAAGTATATATATAAATTTGCTGTATCCTTTGACTGCAAACAGAAATGTGGACTGAGTTTCTCAGTAGAAACAAGCATTAGAGCATATCTTCTATTAGCTTGATTTTCTATACCTGATTTCCCAGAAAATGTAAGTAAAATAATACAGCTTGTATTGCTATTGCTAAGTATTGCTATTCCACCTTGGAATTGGCAGAGGTGTTCCTTGCTTTACTGTTTTGACTGTTGCGTTGTATCACCCATTAGTGACCTGTCTTTATGGATTTTGTCATTACAAATTGTGTTAACTTCTTTATGTGTGTGACACAATAATGCCTTTGAACCTTTTGTGTATAATTTTATATAAATGTCTTTGTCTGACTATTTGAAGAAATACTATGAAAAAGGCATTGACCTTTCTTTTCGGCTCAATTATTGATGTAAGAATTACACTGACAACACTGACTTTGGTCATTGGATAGTTTAAGTTAATGTGTCTTGAAATGATTTGGTTCTATAAAAGGAGTGGTTGACTGGTACTGACATGCTTTATCTCCTCAGGCTGCGTTTCTCAAATGAGTTTTTACCTTGTCCAGAGAGGTCGATAGTGCGGGTGTAGGACTGCTTTGCATCTAGAATCTCAATGGTGTATTTTCCCTTTTCTCTCTCTGTTGGCTCACAGATCTGCATCCAGACCATTTCAGAGGTACCACCAATTCTCATCTTTTCAGAAGATGAAATCTTTGAGTCCCTGCAGAAGATGAATAGTTAAAAAATCAAATAACAAGACTGGCACTTTACTCAGAAAGCAAAATCTTCAGCAAAAATGAGGATCTAAGGCCACACAGCCAAAGTCCAGAACATGATTTGAAGTTGTGGTTAATAGAAAGAAGAAGGAACTTACAGTACACTGTATAATCAATGAGTTCATGTTTCTTTTTGTGAAAAACTAATCAAGCAGGCCACTTCCATATGTTGACATTCAGCTATCTCTCATCACTAGGACAACTACCTAGAGTTGCCTCTACATACAATATATTAATGGTGGCTTACAAAAACACATTATGCTTACCTTCAAACAGCTCAAACAGCTTTGGGATTGTTTTTCCCAGAAACCTTTAAGCTGTTTGGTATTGTACATCTCTCTCTAAGGCGCTGGCATCAGTTTGAGCAGCAGGTAAGCAGCTTAGAAACAATGTTAGAAAATAAGTGCTTCCTCCTGGACTAGACTGAGGAAGCACGCTTCGCTCTCCCATGTGCTTATACTGAGAAAGCCCTCTTCTGTAGGTTAGTCAGGGGAAGCACAGCTGGCTGACCTATACGGGCAGGTTATATGGGTGGGGGGCACAGTATGCTCACCCTTTATTTAAGTTTAAACAAAAGGGGAATCCATTCAGGTAATACAGGTGAAGAACCAAGTTAGGGTGAATGATTTTTACACCCAGATTGATCCGACCTTGGCCTGGTTTTCACCATTTCCTACAGTTTAATATTAGCAGAGTTATTATCAGGTTATAGTTAACAGACCCTTACTAACCAGGCTTCAGGCTTGGTTCCATGCAGCCTGGTCAGGGGGACCCGACACAGGTACGAGTGTTGACTCATCGGAAAAACACGTGAGATGTTTTTGCTTCACACTGTGATTCCAGTGTGAAAAATAAGTGTTCAACTATACTGCTCCGATGCTTGCTTATGCCATATCTAAGGCTAATGCAGATATCCTGTATAATTTCACTTAAGAATCAATCTCTTTATACAGTATGCAATATGGAAGCAATGCGGTGGGAATCACAATTATTATATGGATTTTTCCCATATATGCTTTCATAATGAAAAAACAGAAAATCTGCATACTTGTGGTACCAGACAGTTCTCATTTCCTCCGTATAGTACTTCATGAAGCACTGAAGTCTGATTCCTTCTGGAGTACACTGAATCTTCAGCTCAGAGGCACTGGCCCCTTAATGAACAAATAAAGGAGAAAACATTTATAAGATTGTGTATATATAGTTATTTATTAAACAGTTATACCACTAGAAAAAATTGAATTGATTTTAAAAGTCCTGTGTGGCTTTTAACAGAGTATTGTCCAAAATGCCAAACACTAAAAGGCATGGGAATGTCCCCCTGGTGCTAGTTTTAACAACCTTTGTTATTCTCAGCCACCTACTGGCCTGCTTTGTTCATTATTGATTGTGCCTCAGTTTCTTAACTGAAGGGAATTACTTGCACATACTGTGGCACCAAAGCATACTCTGTGGTTGTACAAAATGTGATGTAGCACTATACTCTGTACAATAAAACAGTGTGAGAATCATTATTAATTCCAAGAGATGAGCTTAACTGTTATTTTTTAACAATGACTTATGAGCATCTGTTCTGTACTGCTGTACACATAGTGACTGTGTTATTTGAAGACTGAATAAGATAAAGAACAGCATTACTGTTTAATACGGGTAAATTCCATGTCAAGCTTTAAATAAAAATACATTTACTTTCTGTAGTGTATTTTAGAGTGTGCTGGGTTTTTAAAATGATTTCAACATTCTTGAATGCAGTTAAAATTGAACTCTCAAGGAAGCTAGCTATATTTTGTGAAAAGCTCCAGATGTAAAACTATTGAGGGATGATTGCTTTGGCTTAAAAGCAGTACAAATGTTGACAAATGTCAATTCTTAACCCTGTTACTGAAATGATTAAAGTCAAGAATATACTGTAACATGAACACTCACCTGCTATTTTGCTGATGCCATTTATGATATCTTCAAACACTAGAAATCAACCAAAAATAGCATGAGTATGCTCCAAAATAAACAGCCTTACAGTAGTTTGCCCAAACCTTTTAGATGCAATGCTTATCGTCAATAATAAACATATTATATATGTAGACTGTCATCAAATCAATAACACACAAATCTCTATCTATACTTTAATCTAACGGTAAGCTCAATTAGATTTTAGATATTTTGATTTATTTTGTGAACAATACATTAAAGAAGAATCATTGGAAAAAGAAAACACAAACTTGCCCAATTCTGATGTTTTAATAAGGATAGCAGTTTTAACAAAGAATTATTTTCAAGTGATGAGAAATTGTATTAATTTAATATACTGTACATGACAGAAATTGGTATTTTAATATGCTAATAATACTATTATTAATAATAATATATTACATACACCAAAAAAGAAAACCCAGGATATCCTTATATAAAATCCTTATCATACATTATTGAAGTAAAAAAATGGCCCTTTGAATTCTGAACTGAAAACCATGATTCTCCTTTACATGAAAAAGAACAGCGTCTCATTTTATCCATCTTTGAAAATACTGTTCAACAGGGTAAGTCCCATCTGCAGCATGGGATTCTACAACAATGATGTTTATTTTAATGTTAGTGTAAGTACTACTAATCTATAGCTTAAACACAATTTGAAATAATTTCAACACAGGACACAAAAAAGTGACATTACCTTTACCAGAAACATCAAGAGTTGACACATCCTGTCCTCTGTCATCCTTGAGAGTGGCCCTGTACTCACCCTGGTCTTTCTTAGAGAACTGCAAGGAAAACAAACAAAACGACTGTGATTTGAGATACTGTATGTGTTTTTAATGTACAAGTTTATATTAAATACTCATAACAAGTCTTACATACACATTTTATTTAGCACATCAACCAATTCCTGCTTATTATTTTGCAATTGTCCCAAGAATTAAAATAACAGTACCAGCAAAAAATGATTATCTGTTAAGCCAGTTTAATTTTCATTCACTTTTTTTAAATTTCCATCAAACAAATGTTTACAATTAATAGAAAAATACACAGAAATGGAGGAATGAATTTGTTCTGAAGATGAGAAACGACATTTGACCAGATTAAGTTGAGTCTCGCGCTGGACTTAAAGCTTAGCATTATGCAAGTACTGCTGAATATCATTAGCATTACCATCGCTTCACAGACATGACCTTCACCATCACTACTGAAAGCATAGATTGCAATATCATCCCATCAACCACTACAAAAACTCCCTTCATCTTGTTCAGCACTCAAGAAAAAGCAATGACTGCATAGTGTTGATTTTGAAATCTGTGAACATCGTCAGACTTCAGATGTAAAATGATTTGAACATTGTTAGTGTGCAAGAATTTTAAAACATTTAGTTCTTTTGTACTAAAAGGTGAATTTAAGCTGTGTCCGTTCCAGGATTTGGCATTTAAAAAGTTGTGAATTGAAAATACAGTAGTGAAGGACAGTGCCTTCCCTAGGAAATAGTTTTGAATCACATCAATAACAAGCAAGAGAGAAAGATGTAAGCATGTACTGCAGTTAACATCAAAAAGTCAACATGATCAGATGGAGATCAATCTACCAGATATACCGGGTTTAACATACACTGGGAACTGTGCAATTTTATCCCCATATCAGGAAAGGGTACCTGAGGGATAGGTAACTTGCATATTCCAGACATAACATCCACCGGCTCATCAAGAATAACTTTTTCATCATCCTTGAACCATTGGAAGACAGACTCTTTCTTAACATTGGCAACCTGCATCAAGGCACAAGAAGAAATACAGTTGTATGTTATTTCATACACCCACTGACCAAGCAATAGGAAACCCCATGGAATAATATGTTGGGTTTCTCCAAACAAAATAACTTGAATAGGATGTAGCCTGCGATGGAATAGGAGCCTAACACCACTAGATTCTTCTCAAGGCTGTGATGAGAATAAAGCAGTGTAGGACTCCCATGTCAATTCCACTGGTTCCACTAGACCTCAGTAGGACTGAGATCTGTGGCTTGCTGTGGACAGGGAAGCTGATGACTGTCTATCTTGCTCTCCTCAATCTGACCATACAGTCTGCCATTAAAAATACATTTGGTCATTTTACTTTTTTTTTATGGAGGCCAGTGAGTGTAAGTATAGTTGATTATAAATCCCAGTATATGTTGCACCTAAAATGATATGGTACGTAATTTAAAGATTTAAAAAAACATACCTTGCAGACAAGCATAACAGTACAGTCTTCCTCCACATGCCAGTGGATATACTCCAGAAAATGAGGACCTAGTGTTACAAAAGTAACTCTTTAGATACTGCCATGTATTTTCACAGATTTGTCTGAATGTTCAGTTACTTCCCTAATTTCTTACACAGAACCAGTGAGTTAGACAATCACGTGGAACATAAAGAAAACTACAGGTCTCAATAACATTGTGACAGATGTTGGTTAATTGTTATCTTTTACCAACTTACATGTTTGCATGCCAAAGTGCATCAGATGAGTTTCTTTTTCTTAATCTTATATGTGTGTTGTACTGTATTTCATATTTGTGTGATGTGCTTGAAAAAGCTTGAAATTTAATTTCTGGAAGTAATTTTTCAAAAGGCTTTTTCAAAGGCAATTTCCACTATATACTGGTGCTTACAGGAATTTAGAAACAAAGTTCAATGAATTCACATCCAACACCATGTTCTTGTTTACATTAAGTTTGAAAAGGTCATATACCTTGTTTCCTGAGGTACTCCCTTCTCTGGAATTCTGCTTCCTCCAGGGCAGCTTTGAAAACTTAGTAAAAAACAAAAGCGATATAAATGATGGCATTGTAACTCCTTAAAGCACTTTATTGCAATACAACACATTTCTGTTGTAGAAATTCCCTTACCATCTCCAATGAGCACCAAAGCAGACTGGTTCTTGGCTTTACCATCTTGGATTTGAACAGTGTAGGTGCCCTCACTCTGTGAGGTGAATTTGTCCATCACCATCTCAATAATACCAGTAGATATATCGCAGTGTATCTTGTGAGACTGAAATTATGCAAAAACAGATGAAACAGTTAAATATTTGGCTTTGTGGAACACATTATTCGGACTATTATTAAATATGTTACATTTTAAAAGATTAAAGGCATTAGCTTGGGGGTGATGGTTAGCCCCCTGGTTCCATTGTCACACAATCATGGGTTCAAGGTCACCATGTGGACACTTTCCTCACATTAGTGACCACAAATGCTCAGTCCACTTAGTCATATAAATGAATACCCCATGGGCCATATTCAATGGCCCATCTTTGATGAGCTTTAAAATCAGTCCACTGTCAATTATAGAATAGCCACTTTAGTATGCAAAATTACTTTAAAACTTTCCACTGACCACTTAAGCATTTTGTTGTTTAAAATGTTTTGGTATTTGTAAGTGTTGTGTCAACAGTAGTGCATCTGTAGGAATACAAGGCTGAAAAAGACCTCAGTCCCTTTGTCATTAATTCAGAAATTGGCCTTTAATTTATTTCAGACTACAATCTTTCCTTTTAAATGATATTCTCTTCAGGCATAAAGTCATTAATCTCCCCAGTTTAATTAAGACAAATATGTTCTGTGCTGTCTGGGTTTTACTCTTTAAAATGTGGCCAGAATTTTACATTTTGTTTTAGTGCAACATACAGATAATTACATATTTATCTAATTGTCAGATAATCTCATGTAAAACATATGACAAACAACCTAAATTCAAGGGCACATTCCAGAAGCTAAATTAGGAAATTGGTTAAACAGAATTGGAGAAATTACAAATAAATTGAATCTATCACATGAGTTTAAATCATATCTAATCATATTTTATTCTTTTTAATTTTCAAACAGAATCAGGTCAAAGGTAATAAGGTGTCACATGATCAATAGTATCTTCAACCACTACCTATAAATCCATCTTTTAAATGAATAGTCTTTGACCTTAAACCCAAACCCTTAAAAAAATGAACTAATCCTTTACAACAGGCAATAAAAGGTAATTTCCTGATATCAGTCCACTCAAACTGAATACTTCATTCTTCAAATGCATGCATTATACAAAGCAATTAAATGTATATTCTATATTCCTGAAAAATGTTCTTAAATGAAAAAAGGCATTTTAATGGATGGTTCTCAAAATTCACTTATCTGGGACTGATGAATGTCTTTCTAAATAGGATGTTCCAAGATTAACAATGGGAGACTATATCCATACATTAATGGTATTTTAGAGAGCATGAAAAGCATAGAGCACAATATGTACATTAGAAGTATTCATTTATGTATTAATGTTTCCTAGTGAATTCTAAATCCATTTAAGTTCCTGAAATTTCATTAAAGAATGAAGCAATCGGTGTACCTCACTGCTGGTGACCTCCCTGTCATTAACAATAAATGTGTAATTGACAGCAGAAGACAGCTTTTCAGCCTGCAGCCAGAAACGAACTTGACCTCTCTCAAAGATCTCGTAGGACAGCTCCTTTTTCAGAGGAATCACTAAGAAAGTGAGAAGAAAGGCAGTTCAGCATTAAAGTCATTGTGACCGTCCTTGTAATCCAGACACGATGGAAAAGGGAAGTGTCTGGGCTGTTTGTTAATTATTCAGGCAACTTCTACCAAGAAGTCAGGTAGGTGTGGCAGTTTTCCTCCTGTGCCTGAAACCTCTTGCAACACATGTAATTTACTCTTAAAAATAAAAAAATATATATATAAATGACTGAATCAAACTAAAAAACAAATATACAGTAACAATCTTCTACAAAACACATGGCCCTGCTTCTACTTTGTTTAGTACGCAAAACCCCACTAAAAAGGATATAATCAGTTATTTTTACCATAAACATGTTAAAAATACTAATAAGCAGAGTCTGCACTGTAATGGTTATTTATAACCCCTGTATTTATATCTATTAAGGTTGTTTAATACAGTATTTCAGACAATTGTTACAAATGTGCAAATTAGCATGTGAGCTTCACAGACACTATAGCACTGAAAAATAAAGAAAAGTTGTTATGATGCTCACAAGGTTTAAATTATTACAAAATCATGTTTTATTTAGGACAAAAGTGTTCTTTCTTAACAGTCGAAAAAGGACTTTTGTTGGCCATGCCCCAGAATCAAATAATCGTTTAAATATTTAAAAATCACCTTTTCATTGCACATCAACCTTCTCTAATACAGTATACATCACATTTGGTTAACACAAACTGGACATTTCTTTATCATTAGAGCTATTTAAAAAAAAATTAACATTTTTGTTTCTGAAGAGCTAAAATCAATTAAATCCAATTTGTCATATGTACCGAAGAGATTTCAGCGACAAATTCAAAATTATTAAGTGCTTTTTCATACTATATGTTTTACAAATCAAGTGCATTGAATTGACATACTGTAAGCTTACAATACTTCAATACTTTTCAGTAGTGTGGCCAACAGGAATGAGCCAGGGAGCTGCTGCAAGGGTGAAGATGGGGTGGAGGGGGGGATGTGAGAAAAATGTGCAGAACGGGTGCAAAACAGGTGCTGAACAGGAGAAACAATTAAACAAGGGAGAGCAGACGTGGATGATATTAGAATTTGGTCTCCACCAAAACTCACATTCAAAAGCGCCATTTGGGGGCTAGCAACTAATTGGATGTTCTTGATGTCTTTTAGGTATGTTAAAGGTTATCACCTAGGAGCACAGGTGAGATTAAACTGAATTTATTTGACTTTTTTTTAATTTGAATATTCTGTGTAATGTTGTTTATCTGTGCATGGAAAACACAAAACTGTATATATTTATACATTTGCATTTGCATTCCTAATAAAGATTTGAAAAGGGAGAAAGGTGGACTCACAAGGGTTTCTTATTTCATGGCTGAGAGCCATCAGTTTTTCCAGCTCTGCAACACAGTAAAGAAAAGATTGGAATAAAATAATATCATATCACCATTTTCTGTCACCTACAGGTACACCTTTGAAAATAAAATCAGTTATAGACCTAGGCAGTTTCATTCTCTCCAGATATAACAAAAAAGCATTTTACTCTTCCACTGAATGAATGAAAACAATTTCTAGAGTAAACTTTCAGATTTTCATTAAATAAGAAAACAAAGCCCCTGAGCAAAGATGAAAAGCAGAGGGATTGCAGAGGAAATAAAATGCTAAATAATTCTACGTATTCTGGCACACTGTTCTATTATAAATGGAGCACAATTGGTTTAACACTGTAACATATAGATATAGTGCACAAACATATCCATACATTGTACAGTATACTGATACACTCGACACAGAGGGGTCAAATAAGACATTCATAACCTACCCTTCTCCTCCAAGACATAACTTGCAGAAACACCCTCTGTATCAGTGACCGCAACAGAAAAGGTTCCCAGATCCTCTTTATCTGGATTTTTGAAAACAATCTTAGAGCTGAAAAATAATTTAAAGAGCTTTGTAAGAGACCTTAGACAATTCAAATGTTATTCTGCACTTTTCTACATCTGCCTACTTACCTACTTAGATTGGTGTGAAGAAAAAAATATGAAATATATACAGTAAATAAAATATATATTCCATATTTATATATACTGTACATATGAAGTATTATGTATAAATAAATAAAATATATGAAGTATCTGACTATACAACAAATTGTTATTTCACTGACCAGGTATAGGTATAAATCAGATTTATTAATCTGATTAGGTATGAAAATTGTTTCATCTGGAAAGAAAATAAATAAATCCAATTTCTTAACAAAAATAGGTTGTGATAATATTAAAAATAAATAGAAACAATTTACAAATAGACTTGCATTCTTGAAATGACAAAGATTAAATTAAAATCTTATGATGTTTCAAGCTTGTATGGTGATAACAAATTTTACTATTTCATTTTTATTCAGTTTTGAAATTTTGAGTTGCTTTTGAGCTCACCATCATAGTAAGAACATTTACTTAATTCTTGCCCTAAACAAAGTATTACACATAAAATGTAAAATCTGTTTTACTTACAAAGTTCCTTCGGTTTCAATGGAGACTCTTGAGAAGTCAACAATTTCTTCATATGATTTAGACCAGATAAACTGAGAAATGTCTGTCATTTCATTGCATTCAAATTTCAGGTAAATGTTCCCTTCTTCATCTACTCCAGAAGAAACCTCCTTTGTATCTACAATTCATGATAAGCGTAATTAATTAGAATTTAGATAATCATAATATTTTTTGCTGGAACAACATTAATTTATACAAAACCCGTAAATCACAAGCTTTAAAGCAGTTGTGTTTAACCTGAACACTATGTATTGAACAGCTATGATTGAACAGCTTTGCACCTGGTGTAACTGAAGTTTTCTTCTTTACGAAGACGTTTAGTAATCTGAAATGTATGTCAGATATCATTTTCAAGCACACAATTTTATTTTGTTACAAAACTATAAGGAAGTTGTGTGGATGCAGTCTCCTCACAAGCTGCACAATATTTGTAGTGCAATTTATCAAAATGACATCTGTATTGATATTATTTAACAGTGAACACTAGTGATTTATGTTCAGCAAAGAGTTTGTAAAATGTATTAGTTATTATGCTCTTGATCAGGAACATTTCACTTAATTCAAAATTTGTATTTTGGTTGGATGTATCGCTAATAGTTTAATTGTGAAACATCTCTTTGAGAACCTCCAATGCAGTTAGAGAGAAATGTAAAATTGCTCTAGGGAAATATAAAGTAATGATAAAGGGCAAAACAGCATTAGCATATGCAGTACATCATCGACTTTAATGTTTTTTGACTGAATTTATGTTTTTAAAGAAAACTACAGTAAGTTGCTGAAATGGATCTAAAACAGAAGAATGTCTAACTATATAAAAATGACTTGGAAAATCTCATTCAGAATTAAATGGGCATCTCACTCTTTTTAGAAATATTATTTGTGAAATGAAATTGAACGTTTTTAAAAGTGGTTTTGTTTTTCGGCTATCTGCCACTTTTGGGAAAAAAATGAGACAATGCAAAATTTTGTATCAGTAGCAAACAATTATTTCTGTGTGTTTCCTGAATTTATGTGAAAACGCAACAAAGCATTTTACACCTTGACTGAGGCCCTGTATTCCTAAGGCTAGTTTATCTTCATATACCTGGTCTTGCTTGAACAAACACTGGCTCAGAGACATCTGATGGCTTCCCCTTGCCAGCTGCATTCACAGCACGTACCCTGAACATATAGGAGCTGGCTTCTTCCAGATTTGTAACCTTTAAGACAAAAGGAGGTACAGTACTCAGCTACAATTTTGGAAACCTTTAAAATAGCCCCATCATTTACATGTTAGCTACTGTACATAGTAAGCTTAAGGCGTTAACTAAATGTAGTTTATTATATAAAGACGTGAATTGGAAGGGTAAAGTATCTGTCCTGGTTTCTTTACCTTTAGGTAGCAATGGGAAATGGCTTTTTCATTCACTGTAGTCCACACCTCTGACCCCACTGTGCTCATTTCCACATAGTATCCAGTCACTGGACTTTTCCCAGCATACAATGGGGCCTTCCACAGAATAACCAGAGAGGTATTTCTGATCTCACAGAATGACAGGTCATAGGAAGGTCCTGATGAAGAAAAGCATGTAAAAAAAACATACTCACCCTGTACGTGCTCTTTTGAAGCTAAAATCACCACACACAGTGCTTTTGTGTTTTGCTTTGCAATCTTCAATATCCATACATGACACACGGTTTAGAAGGTATGGATGCAACAAAGGGTGTCTACAATTTAACCCATGTTGACTGACATTTGTAAAAATAAAAATAATTAATTTTACTTCATCATGCTTTCTGCAAAACTAAATACTGCTTTACAGAAAATGTGCTTAACAACCGCTAACAAGCAATGTCTTATACAGCACCTGGCTCTGGCATAGTCCAGGCTTCACAGTTGAAGGGATCACTGGTGTCTGAAGACAGCCCGACTCCAGCCAGGTTAGCAGCTTGGATTTTAAACTCGTAAATTTTGCTTTCTTGCAGATTTTCAACCTATAATGAGAAGAGAAAAGCCATACCTGTTTAACCTATAAAAACACAATACTACTATTTCTTTCAGGGCAAATTTGTATACACCTCTTCCTTTTAACAGTTAATTCTAAGTCACGTGTTTTAGGTGTATTATTAACAACTCTCTTTCCTCAAGTCCCTCACTTTCTGCAGGAACAGGAACTGCCATAACAGCAGCAGATATCATGAGCATTTCTAGTTCTATTAATAGGAGAGTAACTACATAACAGGCTCATTACAATTTTCTACTTGCATTTAAGTTGATTGGTCAAATTCTAATAACTGTGAAATGAGCCAATGAATATGAAGGAATGGTATAAAGTCGTTTCTTGACATTCGTGAAGTTTGGTACAGAGAATAGCCAAATTCAGATATAATCAAGCTCATCCATATGCCATTGCATAATATGCTACAGTATACTGTATAGTACGTATAGTTAAAGACATAAGTAAACCTTCTTTATATATTAAACATGAATTCCTCCTCCGTGTCCTTCCTTTTTTTCTTCCTCTGCCTCTGTGATTATTATACACTGTATACACTGTAATGAAACAGGTTTCATTGCTGATTGCTGATTGCCTGTTAAGAGTGTTCGTTACAATATAAACACAGGACCACATCGAGATAAGGGTGCTGGGTAGAGGGTACTTGGGCAGGCGGCAAGGCGAGGCTCACTAACCACCTGGATTCGCCTCATGATCCCAGTCTGTTGTGCTACTAATTTCACTACCTTCAGTTCACTTTCATCCTGCTCTGCTCTTTTTCCACACAAGACCCCGTCGACCAGACCGAATCGCGAATAAGGTTATTCGCAGACGTCCAGACCCTACTGTCCGTAATAATTTGGCATTGACTCGTCAGATTGAGAAAATAATCAGAGCTGTCACAACTCTCCACGCTTATGAGAAATGAACCAGGGAGGCAGTTGCAAGGGTGCAGTTGGGGTGGAGGCAGGGAATCTAGAAAAGTTGTGTCCAGAGTTGTAGGCAACCAGAGAGTATTTATACGAGAGAGGAGGGAAAAGATTAGAATTTAAACCTCTTCCCAAAAGTCTATTAAATGACAACATTCAAAAGCACTGTTTCCTCCAGGGTCCTGTTGCCAATGCATTATAATCATGCAATTATAAGTGTACCTATAGTACTATTATTTATTAGTTAATTATTATGTATATATGGTATATTGTCTGTCATCTATGTACATTTAAAAATGAATGAAGTACAAATACAGAAATCAATGACACTAAAAAGTAATATGATCAATAAAGCAAAGAATGTTATAGTCGTGAAATGACTTTGCATCTTGTACCTTGTAAATCCGTTCTTTGATAGGAGCCACATGGGTCTCCCTCCAGTGCAGGTGCGACACCTCACGCTGGTCGATGTAGTAGTCGGTGACTTTGGCTCCCCCAGAATATTTGGGGTGTTTCCAACCCAGAGTCATGGAGTGTCCATCGCAGTACAGGAGAGTAATGCCATAGGGTGGTGAAGGGCTGGCTGTGATGAAGTTGAAAGGCCTCAAGTGAACATTTATATATATGAATACAAATACATCAAATCAAATCTAATACCCCAAATCTGTCTGTCAGTCTAAAAATAATCAAGACCACATTTATTGTATTTCCATTAATATCCACTGTCTTATAATTGTCCCTATTCAATAGAGAGAACCAGATGTTACAGTTGTGCTGATGCTTATATTGTTTTTCAAGGGAAAGGTGACTACAGGGTAACTGACACTATCCCTAAAAAAGCCATTTATTTGGAACATGCCAGATGGACATTAACCTTAGCCTTTCCACTTGAGAAAATGCAGAGAGATGTCAGATCCATCTTGAAAAGTGGGGCTACCTATAAGTGTGCAGAACTTTAATACATACAGTGCAGTCTGTGAGTATTTGCACCGTGACACAGCACTTTTTATATGGGAGGACTATGTATAAAAAGGGCTGTGATTCCTATATGGTTCACCCAATATAGACGCAAATGCCCTTGAATTAAAGCTGACATTCTGCACTTTAACCTCATAACCTTTAACCTCATTGTTCCATTTGAAATCCAATGTGCTGGAGCACAGAACCAAAACAACACAAACAATGTCACTGTCCAAGCACTGTACAGAAAATCCACAAAGAGCCGTGGGAATCTCTGACAATGGGCTTTAGAAGCAGCATCCTGAAAGCGAACATTGAGTGAAACCCTCAAAATGTTGGTTAAATAAAAAGAATCTTAAGAGGGATAAAGCTTTTTTAATATAGTTTCATTCTAGACACACTGTAATATTAATTACTGTGTTGTGAGTTTCAATGAGAAAAACTTTGCATCGAGTAAATGACTTTACAAATGATGGTGCTTAACAAATTATATTACTAACATGTGCCCTGTTTTGTACACACCGTATGGCACTTCTTCTCCTTGATGAAGTAATCAAAACAATCTTTCTACAGTACTGTATACAGTATATCCTGGCAAAGAAATTCAACATTTTATGCTTGAAATTTCATATTCTTCACTGTTATGCTATATCTTGTAAGAGCAATAACAGAATTGCAGGTGTTTCTAATACTCATAGTGATTTTACTCTTGGGTTAATCAAGAAAACACATTTCACAATTTTGTGAGCTTCAATGTTCAGTACAATATGTATGTATTTCCTTTTACTACTTTAGTTACAAAGGAAATTCAGCTTACACCAATAGTATTTTGAATAAAAAAATCCTTTTTAATATGACAATATGACCCATGAACCATATGAGGTGATACGAGTCTAAATCTGTATTTGAAAAAGACCATTGACAGAAAATGTAAAGTATCGATGGAAAGAACTCAGCTTCTCACATATCTTTAATAGTGGATTACCCTGAAGCAAATCGGCCTTTCTAATGCTGTGTACATATCTCTGTTCCATTCAGGTACCCGAGAGTCAGACACTTACTGAGCGCAGCTTGGACAGAGATGGCAGACGACTCCTGGGAGTCTTCACTGAATCCCAATTCATTGACAGCTTTCACACGGAAAATGTAGCTCTGTCCAGTTGTCAAACCATGAACCACAAACCTAAGCAAAGAATTAAATGTCCAATATTTGTTTTCTGGTACAAATGGTATGGTAAATACATTCTTTTTTAAAACATTTTTTTCCCCAAAGTTGGCTGTATATCCAAAATAGTGTGGTAATATTTTTTGCCTTGAGTCATGGAAAGCATTTGTAGGATTTTGTGTGTCATTATACTGAAATCATCACACTGTTTTTGTGTAAAAAATGTACGAAAGGCATAAAGCATTACCGCAAGGTAAAGCTTAATGAAAGTTGAACACACTTAATTTTCAGGAATAATAAATTCTATGTTCCTGAATATTTTCATTATTAAACAGTGCATAATAATCTGTAATATGTTGTTTGTTTGTTTCACATTCATATCTGGTTTTGTAGTTGCATTCTTTGGTTGAGAAGCCTTGTTTTGGTCTTTGGACAGGCTATATTTCATAAAGCATTGATACTGATAAGCTTTTGAAGCTGTTACAATACCTGGTGTGTTTATATGGTTTGTGGTTGCATGGAGCCCACTGCTTTGAGCCTAATAAGCTGGAGTCAATGTAGTAGCCAATCAGGCCAGCTGCTTGTTTAGGAGGGTCCCACTGCACAACCACAGATGTTTTTGTGTTTCTCGTAGCCAGTATACGGCCAGGAGCAGAAGGAACACCTGCAGGAGAAAGAAATGTGACCTGAGACTCTGATATGTGCATGTGATGAAAAAGCATGAACATAACATCTAGAACCATTGAATGCAATAAAAATTAAAAGGACTGCATGAAAAATAGTGTGTGGTTCAAAATTCAAAATATTCAAAATTTTCATTATCCTGTTAAATTGGTTCATAGCCTGTATCTGGGGGACGCCTGTCTACAGCCAATTCTTTAATCACAGCTCAATGATTTTCGATTTCTATTTGTGACATTTTGAAATTTGCTTTCAGCTCCTATTAAGCTGAATGAGATTTGCAAAGGATATCAGTTTCTAAGTTTCAGAACCCAGCCCTCATTCGGAGAGTAAGCTGAAATATAGACAGACAGAGATCTGCTGATGGAAGAGCTATACTCCTTGTGGTGCATGTTCATTCCCAGTTGTGCCTGTTCACCGTTAATAAACATGATAAGGAGAGACTGCACAGTGTTCTGAATGCTGAAGTTATTGCATGAATATGCGTGAAGTTGGGGATTTTTCAAACCAAGGATTGAGTGCAGAGACAAGTCAACAACAATTCTAAACAAGCAAGCTTCATAGTCTTAAGTGAGTGCTGGTGATTAAATGTTCTTTTGGAACAAAAACGAGTAAACACAATGGTCCCCCAGGACCAGGGCTGGGAACCACTGTCCTGTTGCATTAACAGACAGGGGAACAGAAACATAACTGGGCACTATTGTTTCATAAATAAACAAGGGCCTCAATCCATTTACACATCAAATGTAAGCTGTCTTCGATGCACATATTGAGTTAGATAAGGTTTGGCTTAGTTTTCAAGATTATTTCCCAGAGAGGAGTGGATGAACGTACCATTCTGAAAAATGTATTTGTTTTCAGATCATACAGTATTTTTCATTGATTGTGACAGGTGTTGAACACAATACACAGGAAAACGATTAATACGTACAGTATAAACATACAGTCCTGCCACAGTAAGAACAACGTTTTGTTCTCTAAGACCATTAATCTTTGACCCCTCGTGTCCACACGAAAGCTAGAAGTGCCCAAATTTGGAGAAAGTTCTAATCATTTGACATCGTTTATCTCATTTCCAAAGTATTAAATCCAGAAACACATGATGTATGGATGTATAAGGTTTTAAAACATTGGAAAATCCCTCAGTGTAGCAGTGTGTGTACGGTATATTCAATGGTTTCAATATTACAGACATACTGTAGAAATGTGATGTATTTCAAACTGTGATGCCTGTACAATTGTATCACAGATGATGCTAGATAAACTTGACATTGGCATTAAAGTTATGCTAAGTGAGTGATGATAAGTTACCATGGGGAATGTAACTTGTATGGTGCTCACATCTTTCATTAAAAGGGAATTTTTGCTGTCAGTGAAATTCGTGTTATTTGAATGCAGTCTCAGGAGCCCTTTATGTTAGTTTGCCACTAAGTGCTTGAGTGTGGTTTCTCCATCTTTCACCTAAAGAAAATAGTCAGACATAATGTTGTTTATGTTTAAAACATTAAAACAAGGTAATTCATAACAATTTGCATTACATCTTCCTTAGGCCTAGATAACTCAAACAATGAGATGGGGGCACACTGGTACACCCAATCTAAGCCCATGCACACACAAGGGACCATGCAAGCTCCACACAGAAAGGAACTGAAGGCTGGTCACTGGAGCTGTGAGGCAGCAGTGTCGATGTCAATGTCAGCCTGTCGCCCCAGACATCAAGCTCTGCCTTTATCATTTCCAACTCGTAGGTGAGCCTGATTATTTAGCAGGTGCCGTCGTTGTCCTAAGCATTGAAAAGCATCACTAAAAACACTCAGCAACATGAGAAACAAAGGACTCACTGTGCAGCTCCTCCGTCTGAATGGGTGGAGTGGGCTCTGAGGGCTCACTGGTACCGTGCTTGTTGGCAGAGAGCACGCGGAAGAGATACCGCTTTCCTTCAGCCAGGTCAAACACAGCGTACCGTGGAGATCTCACGGGGATCTGGGTGTTCACCCGCTGCCAGTTTCCCCCATCAACCATGCACTGGAGAAAAACACAAGGTCTGTGTCAAGCTGACTGGGATTTTTAAGAAGATATATTTGTGTGACATAAAAGTATCGGGGGTAGGTGAGCCTCTTCATACCACTGGCTCTCATTCAGGCAAGTCCCTTACTGCAGATTTTATCTCCAAGCTATTCCATTGAAAAGCTCGGTAACATCGGCTGTGTGAGCTTTTTGACTGTACGCAAGGTCTAGACAAATTGTGTGATCAGAGGGAGCTCACCTACTCCTTGTTCCTTCAACACAGCAATAGATGCAGTACAGTAAGTGTGCTTAAATAAAATCTGGACTGAGTTTTGCAGTAGGAGGAAATAGATTAGGAGGGAAAATGAAAAAGGGAAAATTAGCATTTGAAATAAATGAAAGTGAGTTAGAAAGCACATTGGTGTATTTAAAAACCATCCATCTTCAACCATTATTTCATATATTAGATGCAATCCACTGAGGAAACATGAAAATCGTTTCTAGAACAGGCAACAAAAACAAATAACTTCCAATTGTATCATATCTTTATAGTATATCTCACAGCAATAATTTGCAAAGGGATCTAAGCCATAGACAGGCTCAGCAACGAAAGATTAGTGTAACAGTATTTTCTATATTTCAGCCTTTTATTTGTTGCAAGTAGGAACAGCTTGAAATATTGCCTTAGCTTTGTATTTCATGACTGTAAGTGCCATGATAATCAGATAAAGCTTAATATGATGCCATAGATTATGTATAATACTTATGTATAGTATTACAAACTATATCTTACATACAGTATCTTTACAGACATTACACAGTTCTCACAACGTCCGTAAAACACTGTGAAAGTGAGGGTGTGTATTCTTTCTTAGCACACGGCTAGCACCTGCAGCAGAGTGTGCTTTACTGAAGGGGTTCCTGCAAATCGAGTGTTAAAGATAATTGCGTAACACCTTCTCAATGTAGTACATCAGGGCTTCCCGGCCACGAGGAACTGGAGGCTCCCAGCTGAGCACAACATATGTTCTGTTTGTCTCTGCAGCATGTACATTGGTGGGAACTCCTGGGATCTTTACGTCACCTGTACATGTAGTGAAGTACAGAATATTATTACAGCATTCGACTTCAGAGCAGTTATTGCTCTACAGAGCATAATAACAAAGACCTTAACTTCCTAGATATGTTTTCTTTGGTTTGAAGGTTAAGCACTGCACATGTTCCGTATCTGGAGAACGGTTTGTATATCTGCTAAGCCATGAAGCCCCGGCAACAAATTGCCTCCAGGAAATTAATTTATTTCAATATAAAAAACCCCACAGATGGTTGCAAGTTAGCCTTCTGATGAGATCCTCATCAAAAACTAATCAGCACCCCCTTAGATGAAGCCTAATTATAGCCTCCGTAATGACTGCTAATTATTGAGATGAAAAAAAATATTCTACTATTCTGCAGCATAAATGGCAAGGAAATTTGCTGCAGAAGATATGTATGAGTTATACAATGGTATCCGAAACAGCTGGCAGAAAGCCCAAAGATTTCAAACCAATTCCAACGGAATTTATGTTTACTGCTGTGCAAGCTATTCAAGAAATAGTCATGAGCAATTCAACCAGGAGCTGCAGTTGCATGAGTGATCACCGCAAGGATTGTCTTCAGGATTACACTATTCTAAACCAGCATAGGCCAGCACTCATCACAGTCAATAACGCACATGTTATGGAAACAGAGTAAATAGACATAAAAGTAATCATTTATTTTGTTTTTGTTTTCAATTCAGCCTCCAGATTGAGGTCCCACATCACTTTCATTGAGATGTATAATCAGTTATCCAACAATGATAGAGTTGAAATGTTGATTATCCTCTTAAAAAACGCATTGTTTATGTTTCTCTATGCAGGTATTAAGAAATATCTCTCACAATTGTAAAAGATCCCAAATCTTAAAATACTCTCCAAAGAATTGTGTTTGGAGTTGCAAATGTACCCGATGTATAATCTATTCAGTGCAATTGTGCACTTTGCAAATCTGTACAAAAGAGTGGTTTACATTACCTTCCAGGTCATCCTGATGGATCACAATTTGCTTCCCTCTCTCCAGGTGAATAACTGTTTTAACAAAGAAAAACACAGTAGGTTTAATGTACACTCGCTGAGCAAAACAGGAATCCAGAAATATAAAGCAGTGAGAATTGCAAATACACCACTGCTTCCCTGAAAGAGTGTAAACATGTGGCTCTAATAGTTTATCCACTGTAGTATAGCGTAGACATTCATCTTTCCCATCTATTTTCTAACCACATCACTCAATTCAGGGTTTCAGGGGAGCCAAAGCCTACACAGGCAAGAAATGAGCATAAGACAGGACACACCCTGGACAGGATGTCAGTCTATCACAGTGCACACGCACGCACACACACACACCAGGGCCAATTTTCCCAGAAGCCAATTAACCCACTGGCACTTCTTCGGACTGTGGGAGAGAACCGGAGGGTCCAGAGGAAACCCACATAAACAGAGAGAGAACATACAAACTCCACGCAGACAGCACCCCAAGTCCAGAACTGAACCCAGGGCCCCAGCATTGTGAAGCATTGTGAGGCAGCAATTGTGCCACCATGCCACCACTTAGATATGAATTTGATATATAAAGATTTAAATACAACCTTGATCAATGAGTATTTACCATGTAGTCGTTCAAGGTCAGCAGGGTCCAGGGCTGCAATGGCATCAGACACCCTGGAGGGCCTACTGACCCCTGTCTTGTTCACTGCCCGCACCCGGAAGATATAGGAGTGTCCCTCAAACAGACCATGTACAGGGTATCTACAGATCTTAATGGGCGAATCATTGCACTGAACCCAGTTATTAGTCCCAACCTCACACCTGTAGTGGACAAAAAAGGAACAAAATAAGAAGATCGAAAAATAAATCATTTTAAATTATGTTTCAATAATTATCCTGGAATTACAGAAAACCTGTATAGCTGTGTCTGTGCAGTAGGCAAGATGAATAAACAGTTTTTAAACAATATATTTTAGAATTTATCTCAGTTCAAGCTTCTTCTTCTACCTCAAATGTTAGTGTTAATTTTGCTTTAAGTCACTTTTTGTCTGTATTTAAGTAACTGTTTTATGAAGGTTTTATTTTTTGTCCTTTTTTGCTGCTATGTTTTGTTTTCTATTGAATTTCATGTTTTGTTCTGTTCCCATTTCTCAACACCCTCAGTTATATGTGACAGGAAAATGGCTAAAAAAATAACCTGTCTACAAAATATCCAATAACGGGGCTCTCGCTGGTAATGTTGGGAGGTTTCCAGGACACAATGACATAATCTCTGTTGGCATCGTGGATTGTAATATCCATAGGGGCTCCAGGAGCACCAGCTACAGTAGCTGGAGCATCTGTAACACAGAATAACAAGCCCCTGTCATTGCAGCTCCAGTTGTGTTCTACAGTGGCATTTCATGCTTGGATTTTTAAGGAAACTATTTTACGCATAGATTAATACAAGCTCCTTGACTAAAAAAATAATCAATTATTTGCACCTTTTCTATAAACATTACAATTAGCTTATTTCAAAGTATTTCTTTGGTAAGCCAAAAGGTTTCTTTCTGAAATAAATAAATGAATAAATGTAAAGAATGAGTTTAGTCAGCATGGACTGCTCAGAATATATACATTATATATACTTAGTTTGCAAAAGCAAAATGTAGTTGTCTACCTGATACAAAGACATACGCCCTGTGCTCAGAAGTGCCCCCTCTGGTCACCATGCGCAGGGTGTAGAGACCTTCATCATCCTTGTTAAGGTGTGTCAGAGTTAGTCTAGCTGACCCTCCTCCACACTTCATTTGAGCCCATTTGGATTCCTTAATACGGACATCTGGAACACAAAGACCATCAACTTTAGAGATTAAGTAATTGCATCTGAACACGGCCATTAGTAACAAGGGGTGTGCAATAGACCAAGTACTCAATGTTTCATTTCAAAAACACCATTTTAGGTGATTTAAATTAATGAATTAACTTACAAATCAATCAGAGAGTGAATTTCAATTAACATTTCATCTGCTTTTCTTTTGTTTTTGTTTTACATCTGAAAATAGAACATACCATTCTCTCTGTGTGTTTATTCCATTAGTTCCACAAAAATAAAATAATGTTCCCCATCCTAGGTTGATTAAATTTGTTTGTGAAGGCCTCACAACAAAGGCACAGCATCTGAAAAAGGCATACTAAGTTTTTCTCAGATTGTTTTATTAAAATGTATTATCACACCCTAGTCAACAAATATCTGAATGTAAAACTCTTCTGACATTTTCCTAAGTAAAACTTGAAAGACAGTAGCTGGACTAGATGATACACAAAATTTTCAAAACGGGAACTTTCTTTTTCACTTCCTATTCTGTATATAAATATTATTGATGATATATTACTGTATATCATCATATTATACATATCACATACAATATTACATAGCTGGACTACCATTATTTACATTTAAATTTACTTCTATATTACTATATCTCGGTTTCTTCGTGTTTAAAATGTTTTTTATTTATTTTTGCAGATCTGAGAGAATTGCACCTGTCATATGTTGTATTATTAGCTGATTATGTGCTAAACTGTTAATGCACTTATTGTGGCTGTACAACAGTCTCCTAACCAGTACTGCTGGAGCGCATGACAATAGCTAGATTTAACAGAATGCTACAGTGAAAAAAACACCAGCTCTTAATCTGGGGCTACATTACAAAAGCAAGAGCCATGCGATTGATTCACTTGAAAGTGTACAGAGCCACAGAGAAACCGATGAGAGCCTCCCACTGCTGAGTTTCACCCTTCAGGGATCTGCAGTGCAATTTTGTTCATGTAGTGTTTTCACAGTGAGGAAATCGTTTTGATTTCCCCCTACCTTACACAGATGTTGACAATATGGGATTAACTGCTAAAAATGGTAATTGGGTTACGTGTCTAATTAGCAGGTTGTTGTACCGTATACTCACATTACTTTGTCTGTCTTCCTTGTGGTTTATGATCAATTAAGCATGGGAAATGACAGGCCTGGAGCAATTTTAGACTAGTTTAAATGAGGAGCTTTTGTTGCAATTTAAGGGAATAAAAAAAGAATGGAGAACATCACAAAAAATAACTGTCCAGCAAGCTAAAAACAGGCAAGGACACAAAAAACAGAACACAGTGTTTGCTTAATTAATTCTGGTTGTGTTATAGATTTTTATGAAGAACCTATTGTGGTCTTATAATGAGACGATCTAGACATAACATTTTTTTCTCTCTGGGGAGCACCAATCTCTCATTCCAGTCAAACAACCGCTTTCCTACATTCAAAGCTGGGACATTGTTCAATGAGCACAATTATCGGAATTCCTTACCATCTCTGTACCACTGGGCTTCAGGCTGCAGGTTGGCCAGGTCAGGTGCAATGACCATCTTACAAACCAAGCTAATTGTTTCTCCTTCAGTCCCAAAGGTTACGTCAAACTTTTCCACGAAGCTGATGTCTATCTTAGTGTACTCAATCTCAGGCATCATGGGGACTTCCCAGATCAAAGCAACAAAACATAAGTTCTTTGTTATATTTTAATACTTTACATTATTAGATTGAACATGAAAAAAGACAATGATTTATTTTAATAATTATTATTATTATAACAATAACAACAACACTAATCATAATTAATCATAAGAAAAAGCCTGTTATGAGCACTTCTCAATAGTTATACATATGGACACTTCTAGATTTAATTGTAAGCTTACACTACTAAAACCAGGAGCACATACTGTACAATACAGTCAGTGTGACCAGCACAGACCAGTGAAACGATGGAAAATACAAAACTTTTGGTTTCACACACCAGCTTGTTTTCCTGCTGTCTTATAGAAGACATTACATTAGCAATCCAAATGGGGCAAGTAATTACCTAACCTTTGCATAATTTAACACCACTAAAGTTGGGTTATAAATTTCCCTTTCAGTCGTTATAGAATCAAGCTTGTACAATCTGGGATAAAATGCCTGCTTTACACAATTATGCAAGATTACACAAGTATTACACAAGAGACCCTCAAGGTCATTAAACTAATGCCCCCTGGGTTCAAAGTCATGGCAAAAGCACACAGTGTGGAAAACAAATCTAATTAAAGCAATAAATAGTCATGAAGATTTATGTTATAAATATATCAGTATACACGCAGCTCTTGTAAAATACAGCATAATTCATTTTTGTTAATTGCTTTTTGTCTTTATGTAATGCACTGTCTTAAAATGATAATCAAACTCTAATCATCTACTAAGTTTATAATAAATAAATAATAAATAATAAAATATATGTACAGAATATTAGAATATTTGTATTACTTTATTACTTTTCTTCTGTTTACTCTGTTTTATTAGCTATCTATATCACTGCTCCTGTATATAGAGCATATCTGTTATAATTAAGATTTCCTTGTTATTAAATCTTATTGAAATGTTATTAATAATTTCCTCCTTGAATATTCGAGATTCCCTCTTACAATGTAAGCAATGGTGCCTTTCTTTTTCAATGATTGTCCACTCAGTAGGCTCATGCTTAAATGTATATTAATTTGAACAGCCAGCTGGGTATGTATAAAAGTAAAGTTTAATATCTTTGGTACCATCCTCAGTGATGGTAATATTCTTCACAATAAAAGTGAAAAGGCTGAGTTCTGAAGTATTTTTAATGAAGCTCAAGGAAGCTGATACTTGCAGCTAAGGCCCAGATATTGTGACTAAATTGTTTACAGGGGTGTTCAGTAGATTCACAAAGAACATATAAATTATTTTCATTTTTATTTATTTATGTAGACATAACAGCCTACGTAGGATTTTAAGCATAAATATTGTAAAATCAAAGAATAAAACTTTACATCACCATTTCTAAATATTTCTAAATGATTACTAGTTAGCTGAGCATTTAACATTAAATTGACAAGTCATTTTGATCCACTTCCTTTCCAGTGGCATGAAGCAAGTAATTTGTTTCATTTACTGTACATGTTTAAAGGGCTAAAGTGGCCAAATTAGCTCCTCTCATTTGTAACCTTTCTTGTGTTGTGTCTAACCGAATGCTGCCCAGTGGTTGTCATCATCATGGTCTGAATCAGAGAAAGATCCAGCTGTTCACTGCTTGTCATCTAATCTAGAACCAGTCCTGAGAGAGACACACCGCCACTGAGCTGCACAGTACTCACTCTGAAGAGGGAGCAACACTGAGTGGTAGGGTTCCTCCTCTCCTCTGTACCCTGCGAGACAGAGGAGATCGATCAGCACAAATCCACAGCAGTCCCTGGCCCATTGAACATGGCCGTGTGGAGGAAAGACTTACTCTTGACAATCACTGCTGCCGTAGAGGTGGCCTGACCATGGGCGTTCGTGGCCACAGCTGTGTACTGAGCAGTGTCATGAATATCACACCTGGACAAAAGGCAAAACACATGCAGAGTAACTCATATATTACCTGAAAATAAAAGTATTACAAGGACAGGGACAGAACAGTTCTTCTGGAAGGAGCAGCCAAGCTGCACCACACTAGAACTGCCTGTCAGCTGTTACCACTTTTAAGGCTGAATTGTCCTAGATTTAATCCTCAAATAAATGAAGATTCTCCTCAAGATTGCAATAATCATTTCCCATTTCCAATTTTGTCTCTTATATGGTACTTTTATGTTATTCGTGACTCAGTTCTCAATATAGGATTTCTTCCCAGACGGTCTACTCTCCTTTGAGACTCTGTTCTTAGTTAAGAGGACAAAGTATTGTGATTTAAGGATTTTTAACTTTGTGATTTATATCCCAATGAAAAGGTATAGCTCCAGTTTTATAAAATGCAGGAATTATGCATGCTGTTCCTGCTAGAGCACTGAGATCTGACTCATCCACTCAATGGCTGCAATCACTGTTCTCAGCACTATTTGCCAATAGTGGAACCACCTTCTGTACAGAACAGTCAGAGATGCGGACTCACTGGCTATCTTCCGGAAGAAACTGGAAACTCCGGCCTTTAGGATGTACCTGACCCCAGAGACCCCTGACTGACCCCCACTTACTGACTACACTCTTATGTTACTACTTCCTGCTTCCTGTCTGCCAAGCAGCACTGAGACTCGTTAGCCCTGTGCAGCATTGAAGAGCTTAATTAATAATAATAATAATTGGTTACACTTAAATAGCGCTTTTCTGGACATTCCACTCAAAGCGCTTTACAGCTAATAGGGACTCCCCTTCACCACCACCACCAGTGTGCAGCATCCATCTGGTAATGCCGCTCTTGCTGTTTTCTGTGGTTTTATTGGTGTTTTAAGCTACTGTTACATGCACTCTTTGCATTTCAAACGGAAGCAGTTGCACAGTGTGTCGCTTTGGATAAAAGCATCTGCCAAATGAATGAAGGTAAGCATACTGGCCAATTAAAAAGACGATGGTGACCTTGTGAGGGCACTGTGCTTGCAAGCCTCTCTCATGCATTATGAACCTACTCTGCACTGGAGACTCAAGCGTGGATGGCAGCAGTCTAGAGCTGTGAGAAGAGCACAGACAAGAATGTGTGGAAGAAATGTGACCTTCCCCCTTAAACCTACTATTTTAGGGCATGTCTGACTCCCTTATAGCCCTGCAGACTTAAAATTCAAGAGTTTGCTGTGGTGCTCAAAAACGCTTCCCATCAAATTCAGTGGTCTCCAGCAGGAATGTGGCGTTTGTGTTTGTCAAATCTCCAAATGCCAAATAAAAAAAGGGAAGATCAAGGACTTGCATGGCAAAGCTGCTCCTGACTTCAGACTTGATTTTCCAGCTGACCCACTGACAGAGTGACAGCCAAGAGATTCCAAACTGCTTTAAGGAGGAGACGGATCGGATGACGTGCAGCTCAGCAGTTTGGTATGAACAGCTGAGGCGTCTTGAATGCAAAGGTCGAATGGAAGCCATTTTCTGTACTAAATTGGAGAAGATCACTTCTTACCAAACCCTTTATAAGCCCTGCCCTGATATTCCTTAAAGGAAAGATTTCCACTGAAGCATCCACACTTTACTTTAAAAGAGAATATCAAAAGCGATTCCTTCTGAGAGTGCCAAATTCACATTTAGCAGATACTTTGCATGATTAAATGGAACATAAAGCCCACTTAAGAATGTAAGTAGCTCTTTCCACCCCAAAGCTCTTTACATACTGTATAGGAACATCATCATCCCCCATTGAAGTGCAGCACCCACTGGGTCACACACAGCAGGCACTGTGAGTGACTGGAGCAATTGTTACAGTTCTGGCCTGCTAAGTGCAAGGCTCTGGGTTCAAATCCTGGGAAAGGAATAGTGTTGTATCAATAAGTTCAAAAGTAAATCACTCTGGATAAAGGTGCTGGACAGATGAATTTGTCATGTTATGTGCCAGCTGCACACCAGATTATGTGGAGAACTAAGAAATTGCTTTACCAGTTGAATTAAGGGCGAACCTTAGACAGAGCACAGTGGGAGCTTTAGTGATCAAATAGCCAGACCTTTAGTGTAACACCTCATTTGAAGGATCGCAGCTCCCACGGGCCAGTCCTTGGTCACCACACTGGGCACTTATTTTTTACATTTCTGGTCTAGACAGAAGAGGGCCTTAAAGTTTTAAAATTCTTTCTTACATTACCTTAAATTCTTACTTAAATTAAATTCCAAACTCCAGATCAGTGGACATTGCTCAAAATTTAAAGAACTTACAAGCTGAGAAGTTTTTTTCCCTAAACAAGGGTCAGATTCAGTACAACACTTTCACTGAGAAAAGCCTCAGGCTTGAATTCATAGATTTTTTTTAAATATGTGCAGTATAATACATACCTTTCGATATGTCAAATGCCAGACTTTCTCTATAACAACAGCCATATCCTTAATTACATAAGCTGGCTATAATTCAGGACATAAACTGAAACATCAACTTAAAAGACATCTCTGCAATTGAATGTGCAAAAATGTATTTGAAATAATATGTGACTTTTTCTATCATTTGTTTATTGTTATTCATATATACTCTACATGTTTAGGCTTCCTAATGAATACTGCCATCACAACTCTCTGAGGCTTTTCTTCAATGTTTTCCCTGATAGCTAACTGATCCTGCAGAAACAATGCCATTGAAAAAAGGCCTTTCCAAGCTTACTGAAAAGAAACATCACAACGACATGAGCAATTGTTATGCTATGATAATGCCCATTTAAAAAAAAAAACAGCCTATTGAAAAATACTACCATGCTGCTTAATTGCTTACATTTACTGGCAATCTGTTTTTCTTTAAAAATTTAACTTGCAAAGATAGCTAAATAGCAAGGTAAACAGCAACAGCAAAATTTGCCGCAAGACAGTAAAAATTCCTGTGTGAGAAAATATTGCTTTTTGTGCCTTCATCATAGGTGGAAGAGATTTTGAAAAATGAGATGTAAGAGTAAACCTTTCAGTAAGCATGTAGTCCTCATATCTTCCTATCTATCTTAATTGCTTAAGAAAAGTAATGTCCGATAAGCTATTCAGTATATTTTAAGATGGTGTATGTACAGCATTTCTGCCAATGAAAAGAATACATGATAAATATTTATCATGGTATACCAGATCCATCACATTTAGGTCCACTACTGCAATGGAGCGCTACTTTTGTTTTGTTTTTTGTTTTTTTTTGTAAATTGCTTTTTTTGTAAAAGGGATTATTATACCTAGTTATAGGTGCCTGTATTATACATAACTAAGGGGCCTAAGTGGTGTTATCAAAATAATTATCCTACACACAGTGCTTTCAGACACCCTGGAAATGGAAAGCATTTGCCCACTGCTGAGAGAGTTATTTCCATGTGATTGAAAAGGGGCCAATTACTTCTCAAGGGTTTCCATAAACAAAAGTAATATAAGTGTCAGAAGGAGCTGAGAATGAAATAAATTCATTGATGATGAATCAGCAGGGCAGTGGAACTTACTCAACAGCTTTATGACTTACAGTGTAATATGTAATTAAAGCCATAGGACACTGGTCAAACAGAGAAAATCTCTTAATTATATGAAGTGGGTGCACTTACAGCACACACACAAACTATTCAATGAAATAATATCTATAATATGAAGCCAGATATACAGCATGTAAATGTCTCATTAAAGATGTGATTTGTGTTTTAAACCCATGTGAGACAATATGATATACAATATAGCTCTAAACAATTTGTGGGCACAGCTAAATAGTAAGTAAGCACATTTTACATTATCCAGTCATTTCCTAACCACTCTGTCCCATACAGGGCTGCTGTCCTGGCACTCTGGATGGGATGCTTCTCCATCAAAGCATTGTATTGTATTATATTATATGTTGTTCATTTGTCTGCACATCAGTCCACCTTTAGCAACTGAGACTGGACATGATCAAGCCTCTCAAGTTGTGATATCGTGTGACCAGTCCCAACACTAACGAACAGCAAAAAAAAAAAGATGAGAAACAGTATTTGTAAGGTCTCAATTTATCTCCTAACATATTTTTGAGCTGGCAGCTCCACTATGTCATTTTATTTGAACCTAAGAACAGACAACTAGGTCAGCTAGACCTTTCCTAATTTTCTGTATCTGTTTCATGCCTTTTAAAAATTCAGCACACTGTTACTACTGTCACTATAGTCTAATTGTACAATTCTTTGCCAAAATTTAAGTCAATGCTTGCATATTGTGTGCATGATGCATCAGACAACATACATAGCCTCCCTTCTTGTACGGCTTTACTAGTAAAAGAAAGGAATTTAGCTGCAGTCAACTTATGTAATGACTTCCTCATTATGAATAGCATGCATTTTTTTCAGAGGAGAAAGCTAATCCTCAGGAGTGCAAACATTTTCCTGGGATCAAAGCAAAAAAGATCTAATAATACTGTCTCTAGTTAATACATGTTGTTTCCAAACCTCTCCAAAAATTATGAAAAAAGTAACTGTATTCAGAGAAACTAGCATATTGATTTCTCTGAGTTGATTTATCAGCAATGAGTACATTCTCCCCAGTATTACAATTTTCCTATCAATAGGAGATGTTAATCTCATCACAATTAGATAATGCCCTCTTTAATGCCTGTGGTATATTACAAATAACAGTAATTTGACAACTTCATAAGAAATTCAAAGATAATTGTTCTTTAGGAGTTTTCAAAGCCAAACATTCATTTTCAAACAACAGTGTTGCCTACCTGTGAATTTCTAGGCTGTGCACTCCATATTTGCTGTCAATTCTGTATTTTCCCATCATACTAATTGGATCAAGGATGACATCATCTTTAAACCTGTAAAACACAAACACCAAGTCGATCATGGGATAGTGGCACAACAGGCATCACAGTGTCAGTAACTGTCCATTGCATTCAACTTGTGAACCAAAGTTATATTCATGTATTTTCTTTCAGAATGAAGATCACCTAGAGCAACAGTTCAACGTCTTCACTTCCATTGGATGATTCAGAGTTTCAGTCACATGCAGTAGTACAGACTGGCAAGGCAGCAGGGGAGTAGAAAATATGACCTTGCACCTCTTAGTTCCTGTCAAAGCAGGAAAGTGGATTTCCATGAATTCAGATTCTAATGGATGTCAGCAAAGTAACTACTGAACCAACCCTGATTGAAATCTTTGCTTGTTACAGAGAATAAAGCACTGTGCATTACTCTGTGTATATTGTATTCATGTCAGGTGTTTCAGTTTAGTAACAATTCAAAAAGAAATCCGAGGACTGCATTGTCTTATTTTTGCTTTCCTTATAGTAAGTTATGAAGATGTGACTCAAATTTTAGCAACCTTGCACCTTTTGCATACATTTTTGGATCAGTTCTCCTTCTTTAATTCAGAGAATGTGTTATCTTACAGCTTTTTTATCAAGCTTATACAATATAATTTAAATGGCTTAGATAGACGTATTGCAGACAGATCCTTTACTGGGCACTGCAGCTGATGTGTCATGTACTATAATGTATGAATTGGTCGAAAGGATAAAAGAAACACTAAACAAAAGTAAATAAACGAAAATGAAAACAGTCTTACCATTTCACAACGGGGGAGGGGTAGCCCTCGACAGTGCAGAACAGCCTCACTGGACTCATCTCCCACACCGTGTGAGACCTGAGTCTTACAAGAAAATCGGGACCACGGACCATGGACTGCTCATGAATATACCTCTCAGCAGCCATCCTTTCCTCGACCTGTTGGGAGACAAATCACACCTGTTAGAAGACACACCGGGGAACTACGCAGCACTGAAAAGTACATGAAAATCCTGCTGCTTAGCGCACTGTGTGAAAAGCTACAGTAAAAATGAATGACCCGCTAGCTGGTCATATTTGAATTAGTCTAATATGTAAGTGTTGTTTAGGACAGCTCTAAAAGCAAAACTGAATTTGGAACTGTTGTGCTTAGTGGTTCATTAGTGGACAGCATGGTGGTGCAGTGGTTAGTGTTGCGGCCTCTCAGCTCTGGGGCCATGAGTTTGATTCTGGACCTGGGATGCTGTCTGCAAACGGTTTGTATGTTCTCCCCATGCTTGTGTGGGTTTCCTCCCACAGACCAAAGACATATTGTACGGGTGGGTTAACTGGCTATGGGGAAAATTGGCCCTGGTGTGAGTGTGTGCTTGTCTGTGTCTCTGTGTGTCTGGTGATGGACTTGGGCCACAGCCAGGGCGTACCCTGGATTGCTTGCCGAGATAGACTCACAACCCTGAATTGGATAAAGCAGTTAGAAAATGGATGGATTTTTTTTTAACTTACAACTTCTTTAACAGTAAACTTTGCAATTTACCATTCTTTGAACGGCGAGCTTGTCCACTTGCTCTCTAGTGGCCTGTCGAGCCCTGTGGACCTCGCCCTCCAAAACAGCCAGGTCATTGCCAAAATGGACAACTCTGCGCTGATACTCCTCCTGCTCCTCTGCAGATCTGCATTTGTCAGTGACAGAATAGATGTGTTATTGTCTTGGCGGATGAAATCGCTCCAGCAAAACAACCACAGGAGTAGAAAAGTCAAATGTTTCAGCTTTTGTTATACAACACCAACATGCAACTTCATTTACTGTCTCATCTGTATATAATATTGAAACATGTACTCCATCTAGCTAAGAGACTAATAAATGAGATCTTGACATGATCATGTATGTCAAATTAAATTGCAATTAAACTCAAAGAGGAATGTCGTATTTGTATAAGTGTGAAGATTAATTGTGTGCCTTCATGTAAAAAAAGTAGTTGGGTATTTGAAACAGACTGACAGGGTCTGTCTGTGTGAAAGAAAAATACATCAGTGTACAGCAGCATACTATACATCTTGAGTTAACATAACAGAACTTGTTTTATTTTGGTTTCATGTTTTCAGTAATGCACAATAAATAAATGAGCTCATTAACAGTGTTTTGCCTTGAATGATGTTTAACTCTAGTGAAGAATCCATTAAGATCAATGTGTCATTCATATTACTGTATACCACTATCATGCCATTCACTTTTATTACTTCATCATGTGTGTGTCCCTCAGTTTAGCATTAGCAATGCTATTGACACTATTTACATGGCATATCCTTAGAATGGTTTAAAAACAATACTCTGCAAAGTTCCACTAGGTTGCAAAGCTCCTTCCTAATTCTACAAAGGCATTGCTTTTGCTTTTCATTACTATGAATGTTGTTACATTGTGACATAACTGAATGATAACCTACTGTATATGAGCTCTTGGACACATCATCAGTGATGTAACCAGGTTGTTTTGGGTGTTTCAACCTCGATCTTCCTAACTGAACAGTAAAATTAATAATATGCTGCAATTTATACTCAAATATATTAATTTTTAATGAATTATCTTCCTTTGAAAGCCCAACAGAACCAAATCCATATGAAGAAGGACTTTCAAGTGTCATCTGAATAGTCTGCATGGTGCTGACAACTTCAGTGGGATCATTCAAGATATGAAACATAATATACCAAATACTTTGAGTTCAAATCGTTGACGTGACCTCATTGTTTCCTTTTGTCAAACTGTGAATTTTGACAGCAACTGAAGAGCGCACATTCAAACCCACACTGAGGAGTACAGCAGTTAAAATGATGTCCTCGAAGGAAGCACAGAAAGCAATTTGCAATTGACCTAGGTTTGTTATACTGTATAATCTTTTATCCACATTGCTCTGTAAATCATAGCTGTGATTTGTTCCCCTTACTTTACATCAGATAGCAATGCAGGGAATGGAATCTGCTCAACATGTTTTAATTTGATTGCTCTAGACATATCAGCCTAGTTTAGCTAATGTATTAATTTACATTTTCTTAAAATAGATCGCTGTATGCCCTCACAGAGGAGAAGATTTTGTGAAACTAACCTGGTCCTGAAGGGTGGCACAGTATAAGTTACTTCTTGCTGTTGCTCTTCCTCAGCTGCATGAAACCTCTTGGACTGGGCACTAAGCCTTGATTTACTGCTTGATTTTACTGCAGATGTTCTAGAAGAAAACATACTGTATGAGTCGTGAGTTCCCAGGTACAGGACAAGGTGAAAACAGACGAGCATCTAAGAGTAAAAATAATGAAACTCTGAGCGATATATGATTTGTAAAGTGCTCATTTTCAAAGTAACATGTATTTTTTCTTCCTTACTCATTACAAATATTATTACAGTTTCTTCCGATGCAATTCAATTGAGGTACTATATACTGCTAGAGGTCTATGATATGTTCAAATTTACATACTTTAGAATATCATTGCTGAATAAAAAAGGAGTTTATGAAAATGTCAAATATTAAGAAGTGCTAGAGATACATTCTTTCTACCTTGACCTTGATGAAGCTGCATATTCTTGCACCACATATCTCGTCTGCGTGCTGCGGTAGTTCTGGTCAAAATGCTTGTGTTTCCGCTGGTAAAACGGTGCAACTTTTGTTGCCATGGCTGACAAGCTTCAGCAGACCTGCTGATCAAAAATATTATTCACACTTTTAATTCAATGGGTACACAAGCTGACTGAGTGGATCTCATGTTCATGGGGAAATCTGTCTTTTAAACTGCTATTGAAACAGGCTAAATATCTGTACTATCATTTATTTTTAACTTTTGAAGTGACAGAGGATAGCAGAGTACCATCTTCTGCAATCCTCTGGAGGCCATCGGCAATTTTCAAAATTAAATTTTAAGACCACTTTGTTACTGTAACGTTAAAATTCAGATCATAATGTACAGTAAGTGTAATACTTTTCATTTCCATAAAAAATAACCATTGCAAACATTCTGGAAGGTTATAATTTGGTTATCTGTCCATCAGCTTTTCCTGATTTCATTGGTAAAGGTGGCAGCACTCAGGAGGCTGCTACAAAGATACACAAGGTGCAAAGCAGAACTGGGAGCATTTGACTACTCTCACCCTGGACGCAATGCAACCCCATCACAGTGGCATGGAGAAAGTGACCATTTAGAATAGCCAATCAAACCTAGCTAGAACGTCTCTGGGCGATAGGATGAAACCAGAGCACACAGAGAAATCTCACATGAATGTGGGAGACATGCACCCCGGCCCAAAATCTAACCCAGGACCTTAGAGCTCTGAGGCAGCATCACTTATCCCAAACATACCGTATACTGTACAGTAGCAGAATAAAGCACCATCCAAAAAAGCAAGTCAATATTGAAGCTTTACTGAGTATAGAATGTTTCAACAATATCCCTTGGATTCTACTCATTTTCATTACCACAATTTTGTGTTAAATTTCAGCTTTTTTATTCAGTTATCTGGGTTTTAACTTTAAAGGCATTGAGTTTTTGGATGGGTACAAGACAAACCCAATAGTAGCTTTCCTCATTGCATATTAATTAACGTTACATGACCATCCTACAGTGATGTAGCCATGGGAATAACGTCATAGACTTTTTATAATAGCAACAGGAATGCTATAAGATATACTCTATATCATATTCTACATCTCAAATTGCAATGCATGCTGAGATTAACGTGTATCACAAGATGTTTGCCAGTTTTCAGCCCTTATAAGAAATGCTGTGCTCTGGTATCTTTGAATAGATAATAATAACAACTAGAAAACCCTAGAAAACTGTTCTTTAAAAATTAATGTTTTCTTTAAAGTCTTCTTTCTTTTTTTCTTGTAATAGGCTTTAGGTCTATGAAAAATATAATCAGTAATGTTTGATGAAACGGTTATTTACAAGAATGAAGTCAATAAATAGCAACATTACATTTTCAGAATGCTGTCATAAACAGAATCGCACATTATGAAAAGCAAGAAAATGTGGACTGTATTTCAGTCAGTCAGTACTCATCATTTTATTTCTCCAGATTGTGGTTGTACTGTAGATACAGTACTGTAGAAATAACAATACAGAGACACATGTACTCTTCTAACAGATGGAGCACCTCTGCTTCCATTCCAGCTGCTATTTTATTTTCTAGAAATATTATGTAGCCGTGCTTTGATGGGTGATGACAACAGCTTAGGTAACCTCTTCTACCCCATGGGCTTGTTCAAGAAAAGTTCTCATTCTAGACCTGGATGAAAATCTCCTACGGGAGGGCAGAGTAGTTTTAGAAGCCCAAGCTAAACGGAGATCATTTGGCCAAGAACAGCTACAGTAGCAAGTCTAAAGTACTGTACAGTACCTCGTTGTTTTGACAGTTTATTTTCCATGTAACATCTGGATCAATCAAACTTGTTCTGTAAGACTCACTTATGATATAACCCTACAGAATACTTGGCACAAAGTACAATCTCTTCTGCCTTCACCCATTAAAGTTTCAAAAGTACGGCACCAACATTGAAGCCATGCTACTAGTATGCCTTTACTGTCACCTATATTTTTGGGAGTCCTTGGCGGCTCAGTGGCTAAACTGTCGCTACCCCTACGTGCTTGGAGAAGCATAAGGTCTTTCATCATCCCATCTTGTAACACAGTTTTAGCATCGGGCGCTTTACACAAATATGAATGACAATATCGGTCAAATGTTTAGTTCTAATTCTCAGGTATACTGCCTCTGCACTTCCACATGGGACGTATTCTGAAGTACAGTAAAAATCCAAAAGTGACAAGTAGCCCAATTAGAATAACAACGTACAGTACTGTACTGTATGTCCATTCAATAAAAGTCCCAAGACAAACGCTCCCTTCAGTACATGTTTTTTTTTTAATTAAAAGTTATTTTAAACAGTTTATGGTCTCTTCATGCAACTTGCATCAAGCGTGCGCGCAGTTTTCTTTTCCTCTGTTGGCCTCTTTTGCAACAGAGACCCTCCATCACTGGTGCCCGTTTAAATACTCACTACAGTTCACCCCACTTCACATACAGTACCTCCCAAGTAAGCTCAGTACACAAGGTTTCACCAGAGCTCATAACTCAATCGCTAACAAGTTTATCTCATAAAGGGTTAAATACTTGTAAAAAAAATAAAAATGAATGTCCGTATCTTAAGAAATAACTCGGCTTTTTATCCTTCAATTTTGTTTTTAAAGACTAACACAGAACGTCTTGCAATCTATTTAAAACATTCATATACAAGTAATAGCACAATAATATAGGGGAAAATCATAAATTTAAACAGGGCCGTAGGAATTCCGTATTTTAATCATCATCATAAGATTTAATCATCGTGCAACGTTCTTCATTTGCATATTTTATTTCCGCGAACAATTCCTTAATTCTGAAAGAATAAAAGAATGATAAAACAATCAATGTAACTGGCAATAAGCAACGTATCCACTTAACCTTTATAAAGTAACAATCAAAATGCAACAGGTTGCATTATCTTGTTTAAACCTTGTTACATTAGTTCCAATTAACCTTTAAAAAGGTTAATCCGTGAACGTTAATTAACGTCTGCACCGCCAATTTCTAAAGCCGCTATGTTTCCCAGATTGCTACTGTAGAGCTTTTCCTGTGCTTGCATTTCAAAAATGCCTTAAGAGCAAAAGTTTAGTTTCCTTGTTTGTAGTTTGTATTTTGCTGACCAGGAGCACCAGATCTTCCCCTTTCTGCAATTTCCCCCCACACACATTGGACATTCAGCAAGACGCATTAGTGCTCCAAGTGAATTAGTGGTACTGTAGAAGTGAATTTGCAACACCACCTGGAGGGGTGCTCATTAATGTACGAGATGATATAATTACGAATTGAAAACCAACTTACCCAGAGAGAATTAAAGATTGCGGAGCTGAGGAGGAGATCAGCCTCAAGTCGCCTGGGAGCCACTTGCTGATGAAAACAAAAATATTATCCCACGGTAGAGGAATGCTCCCTCACTCCCTCCCCATTTATGGACAGGCATGAAACTATATATAGAATTTACATCAACGTTCGCCTTCATTTTTTGTTTTAAAGAAAATCGTTTAATGTGCAGATCTCATGCGGAGATAGGGCATTTTAAACCGCAGAAGAGTTTTGTGCTATTTTTTTTTAATAATTTAACCCCAAGAATAGTAACCACAGAATGAGATAATAGGGCTTTGCCAAATTTCAGAGTAAAATATTTTCAATGAAAAGATAATGGTCGGTTTTCGTGCACTTCTGGAGTTATGGTTTTGATATCCATAAAAATTGCATTGAAACGTAGGCGACCCTGGAGTGTCTTCAATGCGATTAACTGCAGGCAATTAAAATTGTTGTCCCATATTTAATCTTAAAAATAACTCTCACGCGATCTTGAGTATCCAGACGACAATGTTGGTACAACGTGGAATTAGTTCACTCTTAAGTTTCATTTCAAGTTAGTTCTCTGGGGATGTTTAACACCGTTCCTTTACCAAAACCTTTTTAGGCTTCTTAAGACAGTTTGCTATCCCCTCATAACCCCTGCCAAAGACTATTTTTAACAACACAGATTGGGTTTTCAGAAACTGTGTGGTGGGTGATACGCTTCTAAATTACAGTACGGGAATACTTTCTATGGATGCATGTTTAAAAAAATACCATCCATGAAGACTGTTCATTTCATTTTCAGTCTAATTTCATTCCTCTCTCCCATCATCAAAGGTCCAATAATTTAATATATAAGGATCTTAACCTGCTGATTTAGCGGCGTTACAGTCAGCATCTTTACGTTGTATCAGATTACAAAATGTCCTGCCAGGTCTTCTAGCGATCCCTACTTTAACTGTAGGGTCACTGTATAATTTTACTGTATAACATTGCAAGCTACTATATTTTGAAATGCCACTGTCTTCATCTGCGTTGCTTTTGCTTAAATAAAGCAATTTACAATTTCTTATGTAACTCTGTTCTCCTTCAGTAAGTTGTCCCCAATTCACCATTGTTTCTTACTAAAGTAAATAACTATTTGCATTCGTTTTGTATGTCTTGATCGAAGTGTGTTATACGAACGCAGTCAATATGTACAGTGAGTTGTTCTTGATACTGCTGACGACCTTTCTTCATTACATGAATACGACATACAATCCACGGTACACTGCCCGGAAATCGGCTGCATAACAACAGTCAAACGCATGACCCTCCCTGTAGGTTGCATTAATGCTGAACCCCACTAACAAACTGGTGATTCCTTTGCTACTGTAGCCCAAAATGATGCACAACAAAGCCTTCGGAGCTAGCGTGAACGCTCTATAACACGTTTGCGTTATCTTCATCTTTCTTTCATTTTCAATTTCGATAGCATCCTAATATCCTAGTCAGCAAAAGACATGTCACTAGGAAATGAAACAAAAGTTAATTTGCTCTGGCTACGAAAAGTCCACATGGCTTATTTCCCCGGCTACAGTATTTAGTGCCTGAGCCGTGGATTATGGCGACTGTCTAAAGACGATGGAGTTCGCAGTCATTACAGTATGGCTCTGTTTGCTTTTCCTTAACATGTCCATATCTTGTCCTCGGTCAGACAGTTCCGTCGCCCCGGCAACGCGACCGGCAGCTGTTTGCACCGGATCGCCGCAACTGCGCAGCTGCAGCAGGGGCGACTGACCCACAGTCGTCAGGGCAGAGACTGCGGACAGCAGATCAATTCGAGCCCACTGCCAACTGCTCGTCTTGCACAGCGATAACGGAAAACAACGAGAACAAATGATGACCCGGAGACCCATTCACTGTACACAGCAGGTCCCATTACTAGTGCAATCTAAGATTTAATCGGAATAAAAAAAACATCCAAAGATAGCGCACGGTTAATTGAGTGTTTCAGTCACAGCACTGTGATCTTATCCCGCCTGTCTGAGGGCCACAGGCCGAGGAGGCTGGACCCCCGAGTGAGGACGGATCAAGGGGCAGCTGGGGGAGATGGGTGGAGAGGGAGAAAGACGTAAGCGAAAGAAGGAAGTGAGGAAATGACGTCAGGAATGATCACACAAATTACTGACAGTTGAGGATCATTGAACTGTGTCATGCCTCACGAACTTTCCTTATAAACTCTATGAACGCTGTGGCTGAAACCGGTCACGACAGCTGAGTCAGTGTGGAGTTAGGAGCACCGCAGTGGACTAAGCTGTAAATCGTAAGTGTAATTTGCTGAACATTCAACCGTGCGTTTTGTGTTCATTTCACTTTTCGCTATTACGACTTCTACAACAGAGGAACACTTTGTTGCGCGTTTTGAAACTGTCTTTAATCGATTCGCATGGTGGTCGAGGACTTGCTCTCCGCGTGAGAATCATTGCAAAAGAAAAGATAAACCAGTGTTTCGCTGACTTTCACACATTAAACTCTTATTTTTTACGCTACTATCCACGAAAAACAAAAGCTGCCGTGTAATTAAACGGCCCTTTCGGAATTGATTCTAATCTTATGGAAACCGTGAATTCTCCTTGCAACGTTTTTCATTAATTTGAGGAAAACGCGTCGGTAACGGAGAATTTGGATGCAATCCTTTGGGGTCGGTGATGCCGGTCTTGACGTGTATCCACAGCGAGACAACCTGAGGGTGTGATTCACTGGATCCTAAGCCCGCAGGGACACCTTTCTGCTCACATGACGCACAGTTGCGCGCAGCCTCCGTCCGGCTACAGTGTTTCCGTTCAGTTCGCTTTCATGAGTTTAAAGGTGTGTGTGTGTGTGAGGGGGGAGATTCAGTCCTCTTAAAACTAGCTAAAGCTCAGCTGGAGACGTGCATGCAGTCTTCCCAGAAGAAAGAGGTTGTCACAGATCACTTCCATATCGTCTGTCCAGGCGGCAACGACAGTCTCGGTTGAAGCGCTTTCCTGTTCTTGTCAGGCAAGTTTGAATCCGTCTCTTGTCGGGGTGTTGTTGACTGCGGTGTTGGTTTTGCGTGAGAGTGCGGCAGGGTTTCGTGCCGCTGTGGCATGAAAAACAAGGTTTCAAGTTGACGCTGCTGCGATTCGCTGAGACGTTGCGTTACTGTCTCCTGCAGAAACAACTGATTAAATAAGTGTTAGTCTCTCGCGCTACGCTCTGTTACGTTTAACATTGTTTAACAATTGTTCTTTTTGCCTAATGAAACCGTCGGTCAGCTTAGTGTAAAGCAGAACATTGCTATAAAGGTGCGAAATCAAGTAACTGAAAGTGCTTTTGCTCCTAGTAACACTGTATGTGGACATTGTCATCGTAAAGTTAACCGAACAACAAAAGAGAGCCTGCCATCAGTGCAGGAAAGATTTAAGAAACTGATAATACCTCCCCATTGTTTTCTACACCCTAGTATTTTTTTTTGTTCCTAAACTCTGACTTGCGCTGACAGCTTGAACCGTCCTCACAGGTCGGTCTTTTAGAAATGCTCTCCACTTGAAGTACGCGACTACGACGTGCGATCGATACATTTAACAGAGCAAACTTATACCCCTCTCCAATACACATACTGTACAAACCCCACCCCTGAAAGCATTTTGTGCCTTTTTTTTACTTGCAAGTTTGATTTAACTTCCTTAAAATGCATAACCAAAATTGCTGACACGGCAGGTAATCTCGTGCTACCTCATGACCTGATAATAGCAAGATCAGCATTGCAGGTTACTCTGAATCAGGAAATAAGAAGAGACGTGTCACAGTTCCTGGAACTATAACTTTTCAAATACAAAAATGAACTTGCCCCATGTACTGTATATCGGCGTTTTGCGATATTTCCAAACTGCGGTCGCTGTTCAGAACATGCTTACAAATGCTGAAGGTTAATCATTTTCCCTCTTTGTAATGATTAAAATGTAAACTACCTTAAACGAATGTGCAAAATAAGAGGAGCACTTTACCCACTGTGTAATGAATTGGGAGTTTTAAAATTGACAATTTGAAAATTGATTTGCCTTGGCTTTGCTACACAGGGTTACTTGTCCATACTGCAATGAAGGCCTTCAGTCTGGTGCTGTTCCTGTGCCTGGGCCATACTGTCTGGACGATGTCTAATCATTTGTACAAGTAAGAGATGTTCTTTATAATCATAAGCATGCACTATGACACTTAAGTTACAAAGTAATGGTCCATAGTAAATGCTTCCAGCAGATCTACATAAAATGAGAAGTGTATCTTGAAATGGTTCTGCTTTTTTGGTAGTACATTAAATAAGCATATGTAGTACAAAGTTCAGAAATGAAACATCAACCAAAACTGTTATTGTTCTTCTAAGGCTATGGAGGACAGAACGGGTATGAAAATCCAGTTATCTTCCCTTTTTTTTAACACCTGGGTACTTTTGTCACAAGTGTGCTTTGGGGGGTAATTCCAATGCCTTGTCATTTTTTCCTGATTAGTCTATTTTGTACCAAAACTGCTTTTCAGACATGACTGGAATAGGCTGATTTTGACCCATCACTGGCCACAGACCCTGTGCTCTGTAAGTAGATTAACTTCATATATGGTAACAAGCTGTAGAAAGCTTGCCTCTACCACAGTAAAGAATGTAGGAGGAAACTAAAATGCTTACAGCCTAATGTGGTTTCTGTATGTAATGGTTAGGGTCACACCAGATCCAGGCTGATACTGTTGTTTGTCAGGCAAGAGATCATAAGACAGAACAATAGACTATGGTCACAAATTCCTGTATGTTTGCAGTTTGAAACGGGAAGGAATTAAACTTGCTGACTCCCACTGTTATTAATAAAAGGATGTGATAGGACAGCTTTGTTTGATTTGCTGTACAGTATAGTCACTTCACAACTACAATACATCGTTTATTGTTTAATAGTTGGAGTTCTTGTACCATTAAGCTACTGGCAACAGTACTCAAATACCGTGGGTATTAGCGTGCGTGCTGAAACATCTCCTCGTGCGTAACCTTTGTTCATAAAACATGTGGCCTAATGTGCTGGAGAATGTTCTTCACTGTAAACTGCACTTATAAAAATAACTTGTGAGGATCATTATGAACAGTCAGCTTATTGATGTCCTTGTTTTGTAGTTGGAACATATCACTTGCTCCCAGTTTAACTATTGGACCTTACATGGACTCTGGTAAGAAGTTTATACATTCTGTTGTTGGTCTCTAAATCGCAATGTTAAGTACATCAGGTTGGTGAAAATGTGGGGCCAAGCCATAAGCCTGTAAAGGTACTGTATTCTCCCTCCCTTACTCGGTGTACATTAGTAGAAAAAGCCTTAACCAATGAGCACAGCTGAATACATGCATGTTAAAGCCATGAAAGACCAGGAAGGAACTGTTAGAGCTTTAAGAACGGATTCCTTAGTGTGGTTATTTTCCATTGTAGTCCTGGTTTGAGATAAATGAATGGTCAACAGTCTTTTGGCTTCATGAAAGCTTGGCAAATTTGAGAAAGCGTCTTTTTAAAAGCAGTAACTACTTTTTATGATTGTATTTGCAAAAGGAAAAACATCTTTGTAATGGTTATATAAACCGTTATGGTGAAACGAAACGTCACACAAATCAAGTTGGAAAGGGTTTCATCATAACAGATAAACCATATAAGTTTAGTAACAGATGAGGGCCACTACATGAATATTTAAATGCATTCATAAAAAGATGTTCTAGCCAAGACATCACATACAGTAAGCGGTGCTCAAATTGCTCCACTAAAATGCCTTAACTGTATAAATGTTTTCTGCAGCTCATTGTAAATGTGAATTTCTTTTCCATCACTTTGTCTGGTTAAATAAGTTTTTGTATGTTTTAGTACAGAGAAAATGCAATCTATTTGAGTCTTTATTTAAATAGTCTGTAATTAGAAAGCAAATATGCTTTTGGAAATCATAAGATTCACTCTGCTGTAACTCGTTTTCAGTAAATGTTAAATGACCATGTCTTTCATGCCTTTCTGTGAAAAGCTACGGTCAAATTTGACTGAATTAAAATGAATACTAACCTTGTGAGTTTTTAACTTGGGTGTCATTGAAGTTAACACGCTAATGTTCTTGCTTGTTTTCTTAGGACAGATAAAGCAGATATGTGTAATTCTTCCTGGCCTTTTGATGAAAGACAGATAGAGGTACCAGTATATCTTCCAATAAAACCTGCACATACTGTAGCTTAGCATCACAAGAAACTGAATGCCTGTCACATGATGAAAATGAACATCATTCAGTTTCCATTACCGAATTATGAAGTTATTAGATTTTCAAACAGTTTTGGGCATGCTGCAAATGTTTTTTTTTTATATTTTAGTCTAAAACAAATCTGTTGATTCATTCTGTTTCTAGTTTATTGGTTAAGTGCCTTTTGGCACTGAAACTGCAAAACTAGTTTTGTTTTAATCCTGACTTTAAACAAAGACATGAAAACCACTTCCTAAAATTTTTGCTGTACATTGTGCAATGTTTTTCAGGACCTAATGCCAGAAATGAATAAGTGGTGGCCGGATTTGCTGCAGTCAGGTGCCACTAAATTCTGGTACGATTCTTAATTTATCTGCCCAGTGAGCCGCAGGAATCGCAGACTGACATTCCAGCATAGCTGCAGGTTCCTGGGAGAAACGGGCCATCACTCAGCAGTTGAGCCAAGTAATACAAGAGATGTTTGTTGACAAGTTATAAAATGTCTTGACAGAGTATAGGATTATATAAATACTCTCCAAAATTCTTTGAGGTCAGTTCTCTCATTCTCTTATTGACCATCTCTAAATAGAAAGTGTTTATACCCTTATTAATTTTACAGACAAGCCAAGGACATATCCAAGAACTTTCCAGAACCAAAAGTGCAGCCTTGAATTGGAACCTCCAAAACTACAGTCGAGTTTTAGGCAAACATCTTTCACACCATGCGGAGTGTTCCTATACCTACTGCACCTTGGTGTATCATAATCCTTTGCTTTGAAAAGCTCACTCTTGCAACCTGGTCCTGCAAGGTTTTGGCCTTCTTGACAAATGCACATGTACCAGTGTGACAAATTTTTCATAAATTCAATTCTATGAATGTTAAAAAGGACTTGAATACAAATTAGACAGTTCCTCCCCCTCCCCCCATAACATAGATTTTTATTGTGTGAATTTTGTTACCAGTGCAGAATGCATGTATTTCTATACTCTTTTTAGGAGTCATGAATGGCAAAAACATGGGACTTGTGCAGCACAACTTGAAGCCCTGAACTCTGAGCATAAATACTTCGGTAAAGCACTGGAGCTATACAAGAAAGTGGACCTTGATGGGTACGTCTGTCATTGCCATTTTGTATTGGTACACATCTGTATTGATTTCTCTTGAAAGAGAATGCTATGCTCTTCCATCAATACCATCAGAATCAGTGTGCATATGTTTGAGCTGTTGAGTCATTTGCCTTTCAAATAACTTTTAACGAAGAGGCAGATTTAGCAGAGTAAGTGAAGTTGTAATGGCTGTTGTTGCCAGATATTCTAAGTCACAATAACTGAATAACTTGTAATTGCACATGCATTAATTAACAATTTAATGTTTTCTAATTGAGCTGTCCACTAGTTTTGTTTTGAAATGTAAGTGATTTTATTTATTTTCAGGATTTTGAAGAAATTTAACATTGTCCCATCAACAAAATATTACAGTGTGAGTAATGGTCATGTATTGTTAATACCCATTCTTAATCCTATGTTTTTAGTGTTGTAAGTCTGTGAATTACTCAAGGCACCCTTATATATAATGATGCACAAAAGAGAAGTTTTAGTGTGATGGATATAATCAAGGTTAAACCATAGCAATCAAATGATCGCAGAATGTCGGTACAAATGTGTACTTGTTAATCCTGCATGCAAATCATGTTAGAACACTTCTGCAGTGGAATGTCTGCTGCACAAGTTTTTTTTTTTCTTGTATATTGTTACTCGCAGGAAGAAATATTTTTAGTGGCTAAAAATAAGTTGCGTTTAACAAACTAGACTTTCATGTTGAGACTGAGTTAACACTCTTTTGTGTTGTAGCTGGATGAGATCAAGGGTACCATTGTCAACTTTTACAGAGTAAAACCAAAGATTCAGTGTGTAATGCCAAAAGAGGTGGGTTTTTGTTTCCCTTTATTTGAGTATTTTTGTGTTTATGGCTGATGCAGTACTCCTGCTTGCTTCTAGAGCTTGAAGGCTTTATGTAGCGGAACACTTTTATTTAGCATTGTGGCAGGACTGCCACTTGCAATGGGAAGGATGTGGGCTCAAGTCCTGTCTGATACTCTTGAGCAAGTTACTTCGATGAAACTGCTTGATTAGAATGGTCAGCTGTATAAATGGGCGTATAGCAAGCAATTTAACTTTTATATTGCAGCCCGTCTTTGTTGAAATTTCTGTATTGGAGAAACTGCTTTGGAAAAGTTTGGTAGCAGCACAAGAAATTCAAAGCACTAGCAATATTTTGTTATTTGGAACAATATACAAAACTTTCTCCACAGTTATCAAAGTTAGTTTTATTTGGTTTTTGACTGCTAGTTCTAAACTAGGAATCATCACGCAACAATTTAGACCAGCCCAAAATGTAATATTGTAAAAATAGTATCAATAATAAAATGTTAATCTATTTCCTAATTTTCATCTTCAGCCACTCTCTGTGAAAAGCAAAAAGTTCAGTTTGTGCTACATTCAGATCATGTAGCCTTGTTGCAGTCAGTGTTTTTGTACATTGTAGACCAGAATAAATGCTAGTGAGCTCTTGGATTCGTGCTGGAAATCATTTGGCCAGTTTTTGAAAGGCACTGCTTTCTGTAGGCGAGCATAGAAAAACTCAAATCTGACGTGACTGGATTGATGCACTGTACACCTTGGTAGTACTCTGATACAGTAAACCCCTCTGGAACCCAATCATACAACAGACCTCACCTGAAAGATTTTTTTTCTTCCCTTACAGGAGGAAGAGGCTCAAACATTGGGGCAAATCGAAATCTGTTTTGACAAAGAATTCCAGTTGGTTGACTGTGTGCATTCTAAAGAGGAGCTTTCTGACAGGACAGATGACCACCTAACCTTTGGTTTTCATTCCCATTGGGAATATACCGTCTGTGATGAGTCCTTGCAAGTTTACTATCCTCCCACACAAGAGAGGAGTTAGCTACTGGCAAAGGAAATGGCTCTTTATGTGGGTTTTACAATGACTACAATTCCCTTGATGTTTGCTGAAAACTGTAAAGGAATGAATATTGAAATTTTTAGCAAAGAAATCGACTGTCTGTTATGCTGCAGCCTTACTTGCAAATTGTCCTTTTTTTTTAAGACTTTTCTGAATGACAGGAAGTGCTAGTTTATCATTTTTCCCAGAAAAGGGAATATACACTTCAATTTCTCGCTGTGCAGAGAAGTTCTTTTTCTCCTGTTTCTTTGCATGTCATTTTGCTGTTATGACTCAAACGTCATACATTTTGCTAAAGAAAAAAACTTAAGTTGATTTAGAAACTACTTCTCTAAATTGATAACTTGCAAAATTAAAACTTTGTCTCTGTAGGTAAGAAAATTGATTTTCTTTATTTGCTTTCTTGGGGTTGTTTTGTTACATTTATTCCTTGATAGTTGCCTTATCATTAAAGATAACTATGAGCAAAACCTCTAGACGGCCATCAGCCAGTAACACTGCAAATGACTTTTCATATTTGTCACATTCATAGCATGTTTCATCACAAATCTTTCTAGGGGCATCATTGACAACTTTTTGTAAGGACTATTTCTATTTTTGCAGAACAGTATAATTTGTCTTTCGAGGTGCACTAGAATTTTTTTAAATGTTAGTTTTTGTGAGCTTTTGTAATGCACTTAATGAAAGTTTACCAGTTACTTTGCATATACATGTTTGGACTTCATTTAAGACAAGTACTGTAAATATGCATTTTTTTGTACTGTTAAAAAATCAGATTGTATCATTTCATTGTAAATTCAGCTCCATTCTTGCTTTAATTTGCAAGAATACATAGATTGTCTCAAGGGAATCACATACGTTAAAGAACTTTCTTCTGTCTCACTAAGTATAGGTTAATTTTGGTGCTTGGGGGCTGAAAATGTACTAGATAAAGATGTGGATATAAAATTTAACTTGAGACTTCCTGTTTGTCATGTGGTCAAATGCAAAGTTAATGTACTGTTCAATATACTGCATGGTTTTGTGTGATGGCCATGCTTCGCCTGCTCATTGTGCCACTCTGGACTAGACACCATGTGCAGTACAAGTTGCAAGATGAGGGGTCTTGGTGTCTGGTTTGGGTCTGTGTATAATAGAGAAACATTGGAAGAGTTTTTTTTTTTTTTTACATTAATGCAATACCAGTTGATTGGGGTTCTTATTTTTCTGTTAATAACAAATCTATTCCAGACAATTTATTGTACTTGATTGTTTTTTTTGGTGCAATAAAACAAATCCCTATCAACTTTTGGTTTCTTTTTTTTTTTTAATTTAGAGGCATTTGGTCCCATTTCAGATCTTAACCATTTTATCACTGGAATGGGAAATTCTTCCATTCCAGTATTGTAAACATTTTGTATTGTGAAAGTCAGATTCTAGGACCATTATTCACGGTTTTGCTCTGTCATTTGTGCTTAGTGAGTTATGCTTCTTGGCAATACTGAACTACTCTTCTATGGATTGGTTTCCTGTTCCAAAGGAATACTGGCTAGTATAACTAACTGGGTCTTTAAATTGTCACTTGGTGTGTGTGTACTCTGAAGTGGGCTGGTGTCCTGTCCAAAGCAGCTCTTGGTTTGAGCCCTGTGCTTCGTGGCTCGTGATCATCACCAAGAACAGGTAGGTTTCCTCCCCCACCCCCTCCAGATGAAAGCAAAGCAAAGACGGTTTTCAGAAGAAAGTGAGCAACCATTAACTTTTCCTTTCTAATTCTGTTTTATTATATCCCTTAAAAGCATTCAATATATGTAGAAGGTACAGGTAGGTGTAGCAGGAGTGTCCATTTAGTGCTTTTGGCACAAGATCACTAAAATGTGGCAGGTTATGTAATGCACAGCAGTCATTGTGTCAACTACACATCACAGCCACTAGGGTTAAAGAGTGCGATTGCTTCGTAAAGGCAGGTTGATAAGCCTGGTCAAGGGTGCCAAAGTCCTGCTGGCAGGCATGTAAAACATCCACTTAATGTTTTAGTCTCCGATTTGCAGAATTTGCTGCAGATGGAGCACCCTGGAAAGATTCCAGCAGCCACACTACAGTTCATCTGTGAAAATGTACACAAACTCTAGTCCCTTCTTGACAAATTAAACACTGGAGCTGGAGTTACAGGAACTGGAAGACTACCACAAAATTGAGGAAGTGGTAAATTCTGACGCGTTCAAGGAGGTATTCACCCCATGTCCGCAGTAACATGAAGAAGCTGGTCCCAGATAATCAAGGAAATGAAATACAGAAGTCTATCCTAATAACCCCCACTTTACAACACATTGCCCAACAAGTTTACTCCACTCGAGGACTTGGAAACAAACTTGCAAGCTCAAAACCACAGCTCTGCACACCACCATCAAGATCCTGAAGTTCAGACACCAGGAAACTTGATGATGCACAGCTGTTAATTCAATCTTAGTGTGTTTAATGTGTTTTAAGACCTTCTGCTGAAGGTGATGCTGAGTTCCAAAGTTTTTATTATGTTCTATTGAAATAATTTTACATATTAATCCCCACTACAATTTATACAGGCACTTTTTAAGTTCCTTAGATCTCACTCTGTTGCCAAATGTAATAACGCAAATTCAAATTTGTGTTCAATTTAATGAAAAAAAAAAAGATTTTGCATCAATTCTGATTAATGGAATGGTTTTATTTAAAGTGTGGAGTTCAAGAATGTGGAGAAAGATAAGCATGACATTTGCTGAGGAATCTAAATTTACAAACATGAGCCACTAGGTGACAGCAGATCTCAACACACTGGTATAATATAATAAAATCCTGCAGCTCTCCAGTTCCATGTCAGGATCCAAGCACCTACAGTACAACAGGATTGTTGTCATACCCAGCTGTGCATGTATACATACTGTACACTGGATATACAACATTTGTGCATGTGTCAATTATCCCATGTTTGCATACATTTTTATGTAACATGTTTTTAACAATTTCACAAATAGTGTTAACATTATAAGCTGCAGATCTGCACCCTTCTTCTTAATAAAATGCATGTTTTAATGGAAAAAATAATCTAATTGTAATTATTTTATGTATCTGAAAAAACAGTAATATAAATTATTTTTAGTTTTGCAGTAAGGCAGTGTAAAGAAAATAATTGAGTGCCTTAGCCTTCCCCCTTACAAACTGGTTATTAGAGAAATACAGCGCTGCTCTAACATGAAAAGATATGCTCCTGGTAGTGTTTTGATAACAACTGTTTATCTTTTAACGTGGAAAAGAAATGCGCATCAGCTTCCACCCGTCATCTGTCATCAGGCCACGCACGGCCAGAGACCCATTTGACTTCTCATGCACTCCTGTTGGTAAAACCTGCTTCAGATCGGTCAGTGGGATATCTCACTCTTTCCACCGACATGGGAAAAAGGCCAGTGACAGTGCATGCCAATGCAAGGAAGTGTTACGCCATTCAGCGATTGCTGTGTTCTCGCATCAGATTCAAAGGAATGTGTTTTCCACCCTACTTCCGAGACCCCGTGACACACTGGAGGTTTCAATCTATTCTGTAATCTCTCTGTCAAAGCCATTTGGGATTTTGATACAGAGCTGGCCTGTCTCCAAGCTGTGGGGGTAAATCAGAAGATGGATCTGCCTCTGATGAGCCCGAGCTATTAAAAGGGAAAGAGGACTCTAATGTCATGATTCCCAACAGATGGTCAAACTGATGGCATCATTCCATTTGGATAGCAGAGTCATGGCCTGTCGATATTCCTCTTTCATCTCACACACAGGGCAGGAATTAGGGATTTGCTTTCTGCCTTAAGAATTTGCACAAACTGTTCTACTATATTATACTAGAAGCGCTGATAAAACAATTTAAAAAACATTTTGAAAACTCACCACTTCCTTACAGAAATCTGCAGTAATACTGATGCAGTAAGAGGAAGAAAAGACTAGTGTGTTACAATTAAACTGTTGAGGCTGCTTATTAAAATCCATTCTTATTTTTCCTGATGTGTTTTTTTTGCATCTTAAGTTAAAAAAGATTTTTAGGCTCCCAATCTCTTTGAATGTAACACATTCTAAAGTGTTGTCAATTTGGAGTTACCAAGACAAAAACAAAAATGTAAAAGGTTGAAGGATGTGAAATCCCACTTTTATGTGCTTTCCACAATATTAAAACAGTGCTGATGTCTTTTCACAGTGTTCAGCCATTGCCTACATAACATAAGAATAATTACATTTATATATTCCACATAATAGGCAAAGAGCTATTTCATTTTTAATGTATTTCAGTGTAAAAATCTGCCATGAATACATTTTTAAAAATTGGATGAGAAAATCATTCCAGAGGAGATACACTTTTGCATCTAATTTCAGGAAAAGTATTTTTTATGTTATTAAAATATGTTAGCAGTTTTATTAATACATAAAAGAATTTGTGGATTGTATTTCAGAAAGAAATTAATCAATATTTGAGTAAGATAATTTTCTAATATTTTTTAATAAATTACATGTATTTTCAATATACACAATATTTACACGTAAATGCATGGACATTCACTTGTAGTTTCAGCCGTCTTATAGATATATGTTTAGGTAACTGAAATAAATTTATGTTATGATTCATTTCATTTTTTTTTTAAACAAAATAAGACTTCCTCACAGGATGAATAATAACAATTGAGGAATGTTTGTTGCATATATCTTTGCCTAGACAAAAGCATATGTCCCAATGAGGGCTTGTATAAGCTGAAATATATATATATACTGTATTGTTTTTGGAGTACACACAGCATCCAGCTTGTGTAATCGCTCTATGGAGGACATTTATATTTTTGTTTCCCCCAAACACAATAAAATAAATGTTGAATTATGTAAAAATATGTCATAAAATATGTAATACAATAATAAATATAGCCATTCTCCACCTCAGATGAAAAATATGTATCAACGTGAAATTATTTCAGTGTCATGAAGAACATCAATGACTCACAGCTTCATTGGTGTTTAGGTTTGTCAGACTGGAATCTACTTTAAAAGGAAGGTAATAATCCTTCTGTTTTTCTTGCCACATGCTATTTAAACACCAGTCAATGAACTCTAGTGAGAATAAACCTTAGGATCTAATGAAAGCCTTGTTCATGCAAATAAATATTTAAATTTCAATGCTACTAGAGTCACGGGATTAAATTATTTAAAATTAACATAATTATTTTTGCTCCAGTAGTTAATTTCCTGGCTCTGATGACACCATCCACACATAGTATCATAAAGAAAGAAAACATTATGAACCCAAAGGGGTACTGATACTGAAAGTAGAATATGTTACAATTCCAGGAAAAAGCATACATTTAATGAAGGCAGGGTATGGACACAGTGTCGAAAACAAGCCAGTCCTACAGTTCGGGATATCAATGCTACTGCAAGGATACAGTATGTGCTCATGTAAGATCTGAAGTCTCATCTAAATCCTAAAGCTATCAAGCAGTGTAGTGTTGATCTGCTTGGCAACATGCTGTGATAAGCCGGCTGCCCAGTGTATTAGCAAGCCTATACTGTATGTGATCACTCTCTTGCAAATAATGATGTAAGATTTTTACATAAAAATATCTAAAAATAAATTATGCAAGGATCTGAGGATCTGTCAAACAAAAACGTGTTTATTTGCTTTACTTTAATATTCTGCATTGAATCCTGTAGACTGAGGTTTTGCCACTTTTTTCTGCTTTCTGTGCTTACTGACTAATAACCTTTGCAATGTAATAAAATCATATACTAATAAACATTATTTTATACATTACCTTTGGGAAACGTATCTCACATAAGTGATATACAGTACACCAGAAATGCAATGAAAATCAAAACATACTTAAAAAATGTATGTGGTAGTGCTAGGATAACGTTAATGCAAAACAGAAAAATTAAACATTGGAAGCAATGAGAGTGAATAGATGGATTTCAAGAATTGTCTTATTGCAGTTTTGGTGTCTTGCAGCACAACAATTCATTGGTGGATACAAAGCCACCCAGTGTCTACAGCTCCATATAGAAGGTAAGATGAACCCTGAGTCTCTTGAAACAAATAACTGAATAACAGAATAACGGAGTAACAGAAATGTGAAACATGTACTTTCAGATAATGTCAAGGAAGTAATACACAAAAACAACATGTTCCTATCAAAAGTACAGTACCTAATTAGGATCTTTGTTGAATTCTTACTTAACTGAGTTTTTCACCTCCTATCCGCTGTACTGTGACTTTGATCATAGAAGATAATCTAGCAATGTTG